TGATTTATAGGTTTGCTTGGTGAAATTACCATATATTGATATGTATGATGTTCCAAGGACCCAAAAAGGTATTTTTGGATTAAGGACGTCAAAGAGTACTTGTATGTAAAATTTCACGTTAATCGGACTCCGTTTGGGCGGTCAAACGGGCGTTGACCGCCAAGTCAACTGCTATACCCGACCGGGTATTAAATTTGCCCCAGGGGCTACTGTCTTCGATACCCGATCGAGTATGGGTAGGTACTCGATCGAGTATACACCAAAAATTAGCCTTACGGGCTATTGTCTTCTGTACTCGACCGAGTATAGGTGGGTACTCGATCGAGTATTGGGTTATGCTCAAAACGGGTAGTTTTGAGTGGGTTAATGTGGGCCGTTCAGGTGGGACCCGCCCACTTTGGTTCCTAAGGATGATTATATGACTATAGGGCTAGGTATTATCCATAGTTAAAAGAATGAAATGTTAGTCATATCCAGGTTAGGGTTTGGTAAGGAATAAGTTTGGGGTTGAGTATCCCCGGGACGGTAAATGATCCTGAAACTCGGTTGGGGTTGAGCATCCCCGGGACTATAAATGATCCTGAAACTCGGTTGGGGTTGAGTATCCCCGGGACTGTAAATGATCCTGAAACTCGGTTGGGGTTGAGTATCCCCGGGACTGTAAATGATCCTGAAACTCAGTTGGGGTTGAGTATCCCCGAGACTGTAAATGATCCTGAAACTCGGTTGGGGTTGAGTGTCCCCGGGACGGTAAATGATCCTAAAACTCGGTTGGGGTTGAGTATCCCCGGGAAGCTAAATGCTCCCAAAACTCGGTAGGATATTATGAATGTAGAATGTAGCTTGTGAGCTAGGCATTCGGAGAAGGAGTGAGAAAAGTCAGGTAAGGACTTTATCTCTAAAAGACTTTTTAAATGAAATGACCTACGGGTTGAGTATTTTACAAATATATATACAGTATGTATCATCGGGTGGATGAGTCACACGCACACACACACACACACACACACACACACACACACATATATATATATATATATATATATATATCACCCTATTTTTGGTCTCGTGTCTGAAACATTAGTTATTCTTCATATAGCCTGCTTGTCACTAGTACTTCTATGGAGTACTGACCCCTCCGGGGGGCCCTCACATTTTTCAGGTTAAGGCTAGAGTCCTACTAGCTGCACCTTTGCATAGGGTGATTGATCAAGAGGGAAGACGTGGTTTGTGCTTCCATTCTTATTTCAAATTTATAAACTGCTCATGGATTTTCGAACATTGTTTTCTTTAAAACAGTTGGGGGCCTGCGAGCCCGTGTGGCTAAGTATCAAACATATTATTCTTTCCACATTTGTTTGATTATGATATCGATGTTGATTGTATTTGTTTACTAATCGGTTGGGCAATAGAATCAATCGGACGCCTTGTACAATTCAATAGGGATGAATTGTTGTTATTCTTATCGGGTTGTACGGCAGTTGTCTAGGTGGCCCGGATGCGGTCTGGGGCGTGACACTTTAAATCTGTTGATGAATCCATATTTCCCAGAATCAGGAAATGTGAAACTGCAAAGGATGTGTGGGATGAGCTCACAAAGATCGGAGCTGGTGATGAACAAGAAAAGGACAACAAACTGACCATATCCCTCAAGAAATTTGAGGACTTCAAAATGTTGTCTAATGAGTCTATTCATGAGATGGAATCCAGGTTCCTAAAGATTATAGCAGAGGTCTCAGACCTAGGGAAAGATCTATCCCAAAAGGAGATTTCCCTTAAAGTCTTAAGAAGCCTACCATCAAAGTGGGACATGAAGGTGACTGCTATGAGAGATAGCAGAGATCTCAGAACCTTGTCAACTGACAAACTCTTCAGTGATCTCAAGGCCTATGAATTTGAAATGAAGGAGGTCAAAGAAGAGAAGGAAGATGAATCCAAGACACTCGCTCTAGTGTCTGAGCCAAGCACTTCAAAATCTGCTGAAAAATCCCTCAATAATCTCCTCACAGACGAGCAGTTTGCTATGTTTGTGAGGAAATTTAAAAGATTCATGAAGAAAGAGGGAACTGCTCCAAAGAAAGCATACAACCTGCCACCTAGAAGACAAGGGAGACCTCAATCCAGCGAGGAAACTGTCTTGTGCTACAACCGTAGACAGCCAGGACATTACAAAAATGAATGTCCTCTGCCCTTAACCCAAAAATATCAAGGACAGTAGGGGACTGCTCAAAAAGCTGGTTACAAAAACTTCAAAGGCAAAAGACAAGCATTTGTAAGTGAAAAGAAAAAGGAGGAACCCCAAACTGATGATGAAAGCAGCTCAAGTGATGAGAGCTCCTCATCGGATAGCTCAGAAGAAGCACTTCTCTGCCTTGGATCATGGCAGGTGACTGAAGAGAGCAGCAGGTGGCTCAACGAGCCTTCCACCAGTGGAAGAAAAGATGATGAAAGTTGTTCCCCCAAATGCTTAATGGCCAAAGACCACTACAACGATGTTGAGGTAACATCCTGCTCCTCGTATAGCTCTAGTGATTCTGGACCAAACAATATAACACTTGAATCTTTATTACAAGATTTCCAAAAAGTCCAAAATCACCATGTTCTCTTGAATGATGAAAATGATAGACTGAAACAAGACATTAAGGCCATTCAATCTAGATGCCTTAAGCAAAAATGAAGTCTTAGAAAAGGAGAACACAGAGCTGAAAAACTCCAGCACAAATAGTAAAAACATTCACCCTACTACTGAAGTTATTCTAAATAGGAAGAGAAGAGGTCTTGGTTTCTCATCCCCCACTAGACTCATTCAAAACTGTACATCTACAAGCCATCAATCAAACACAAGAAAACTAATCTACCAAAAAATCCACTCCCCAAATGTTCCCACAAGAAGGAACCAACCTGCTCTCAAACCAAAATCCAAATTCCTATATAAATCAACACCTCCTAACCACCAACACACAAGAATCCGTTGGCAACCAACCAATAAGACCAACCACAGCCAAAATACCAAGCAGACCCCTCAAACCAATAATCCATTTCCCACATCAAGAAGGAAAAGGATTAATAAATACATAGCCATTCCCTATGATTACAACACCTCTAATGGCTATAGACCAATCTGTTTAGAGCTTAATGGTTCTAGATGGGCATGGATGCCTAAACTTGTACAAGGGAAATCGCCCACTAACTTGTGCGTTACTACTCAACACTGATCTATACAGGAAGGTGTTGGAGCAGCTGAAACACAAACATGGTACATAGATTCAGGCTGCTCCAGGCACATGACGGGCAGCAGGCGGCTCCTGTCAAATTATACAGCAAGGGAAGGACCCAAAGTAACATTTGTGAATGTGGAAAAACAAGGAGAAACCAAAGGAGCTGGAGACCTATCAATTAATGGACTTACCATCCAAAACATATCCTATGTTAAGGGTTGAAAGTTCAATCTCATAAGCACAGGCCAGCTCTGTGACAATGGCTATAATGTTACATTCTCCAAAGACATCTGCTTGATTAGAGATGTCAAAAATGACAAAAATGTGCTCACTGGTAGAAGGAAGAAGGACATGTACATTGTTGATTGGAGCTCAGCAAAGGAAGGGATCTGCTTAGTGACAAAGGCAGATTCAAACTTGAGTTGGGAATGGCACAACAAATTAAGCCATCTAAACTTCAAAACAATCAACAAATTGTCCAGAAAAGGATTGGTGAAAGGACTCCCTGAAATCAACTTCAAAAAGGACCACCTCTGTGATGCTTGTCAAAAAGGAAAACAAACCAAGGTATCATTCAAATCAAAGGAAGTGGAATCATCAACTAGGCCCTTAAGCCTACTACACCTTGACTTGTTTGGACCAGTTGAACCAACAAGCTTAAGTGGTAGAAGGTACACCCTGATTGTAGTTGATGATTATTCTAGATACACATGGACCATATTCTTAAAGAAGAAGAATGAAACAGAGAAGAAACTTCCTGAATTGATGAAGCTAATTCAAAATGAGAAGAGTCTCTCAATCCAGAAGATTAGGTCAGATAGAGGTACTGAATTTCTCAATTCCATCATAATTCAGTACTGTGAAGAAAATGGAATCCATCATCAAACCTCAGCAGCAAGAACACCTCAACAAAATGGTGTTGCTGAAAGAAGGAACATGACACTCAAGGAAGCTGGAAGGACAATTTTAGAAGCAGCTGGATTACCTAAAACATTTGGGGCAGAAGCAATCAACACAGTTTGCTACACTCAAAATAGAAGTCTTATTCATAAGACTCACAAAAAGACAGCATATAAGTTATGGAAAGAAAGGAAGCCTAATGTTAGTCATTTCCATATGTTTGGGTCCAAATGCTTTATCCTAAACAATGGAAAAGACTATCTCAAGCCATTTTGTGACACCTCGAAAAATTTAAATAAAAAAAAATAAAATAAATTATCTTATCAGCCACATAAGATGTTACGAAAGTAAGATTTTAATAACTAAGTGAATCAGATAAAATTTTAACATCGATGACATTTTTAACCAGATAAAAATGTTTCAATAATAAAAGTGACATTTTAACAATTTTAAAGATATTAGTTAATGACGTGTACAAAATACACCAAACACCACACAAAATAACAAACTCAAAATGTTGACTTTTGTAACTTAATAATAATGCTACGTATATATAAATAAACTCACATCCATACATACCCAATATATTCAAGCACGAAGTTAGGATATATATATATATATATATATATATATATATATATATATATATATATATATATATGAAAGTGTCGGTTATTTGATTACCAATATGTACATAATACATTAAATAGGAGGTAGTACTATGCAAAAATAACAATAATTGAAGTGAACAAAGCAATAGACAAACACGTACTCTTACATTAATGATGCTATGTATGTAAGTTAATTGAATTCAGGCTGAAAGGTAGACCAAGTACATTAACATCCACGATACATTACTACTTGTGTGAAACTTGGGGATGATATAAACCTATGTGTAAAAATCGGATCAAATATACACAACCTAGAATCGCCCTCTTATCAGTATAAATACAATACCCTCATCCTGCTATTCCATTCATTCAAGTTCCAGTCGATATATATATACATACACATATATACGTTGTGTATATATACACACACCAAATTTCGCCCCTTTGTTATACTAAAAACCGAGCCTTGAAAACAATTCTAAAACCTTCCTTTTCGTGAGAGGAATACAACGGTGAAAGAAACGTGAAAAACGGTCGTGAAACGAGAGAGATATCGTTTGCCGGAGTTTCGCCGGGCTAACCGTAACGACGGAAAACGGAGAAGAAGAAAGAACCGCCGGTGCCGCCAGTCCATCACCGACCACCGTCGTCCCAGAAGGAGCCAACAGCACCACCATTTCACGTTTCCGTCGAGGTAACCCCTTTCCCTGCGTCTAGCCATTATCGGCGTTCTCCCGAAGAAGAAGACGATGGTTTTCTCCTCTTTTTATTTTTATTTTTGGGCCAATTGCAGATGGGCCTGTTTTTTTTTTTATTCTTAAGACTGGACCTCATGTTTTGGACTTGCCGAAAATGTATAATAATAATAATAATAATAATAATAATAATAATAATAGGAATATTGACAATAATAATCTGTAAAATGGATTTATTGGAGATGAGAAATATTAATGGTGAAATTGCCTTGGTTAATTGATAGTAATCACTTGGATAGATTTGTTAAGTGTTATTTAACATGATTACATAATGTTAAATAATAAAAAGGAATTGACGGTTTAATTAATAAAAACTGACAAACGAATAATGTATTAAAATAATAATTATTTGTTTGGAGTTAGTAACATGAGTAGATTGAATAAAATTGGATAGATATTATTTTCACTAATTATTGGATTAATTGAAGTAGATTAATAAGTAAACATAATTACGGACTCAGAAATATCAAGTGTTTGAGTAATTAATAAAATTATATTAAATTGATGATGATTAGTTAATTTAAATAATTGTTATAATATTCGGATTTACTAATAATGTCGATTAATAAAAATTAATTATGAATTTTGAACAGTTAATTAAATGTAATTCGGATATGCCTTAAAAATATTAAAATACAATTAAATATTCGGATGAATTATTAATAATAATTAAGGTAATCTAGAAAATTGAATATTTTAATATAATTCGGATTTTTACATATTTATTAAAGGTGTAGGTGTTAATAATAAAAAGATTATGATGAATTGGGTTAGTTAACACCTCTTATTACCGGACCAGATTAAAAATTAATGAAGAATTATTGTATTAATTATCGAATTAGTTTTAAAATAGTTTAAATAATATGAGATGGATATTATGTATGAAAATAAACTATAATGAAAGTAACTCGAATATATTATAATTCGTATGTTTTAAAAAGATTAAATTATAGTTAACTAATTGAATATAGAATAAATTAATGGTCATTAATAAATTAAAATTTGGTTATTTTAATTAAATATATGTTGGTTATTATAATATAATCATAGTATTCAATCAATAGCAATTATGGCTGAAGTAATAAAGTAATTTGATTAATAAAAAGTGATTAAGGGATAAAATAGACCCGATTAACTAATTTATTCTATATTAAGAAATTCGGATTATAAGATAAAAAGGGGAATATCGGATAAATTATTAAAAATAGAAGAAGTGACTAATTAAATCATCTTAATTAAAAAGGTGAATATTTAGAGACCGGAAGTGTGGAAGAGAATTAGGAGCATCGGACTTAAGGTAAGTTTCTCTGTCAATCCAAAATTGTTTCCTCGTATTATATGCTTATTATGCATTATGTGATTAAGTGTGAATTTTGAATTATGTGTATGTGATTTTGAGGAGATATTAGATCTATGGTATTTGAGAAGTGCAAACTAAGTACTTTTGGGTATTAAATATTTTTAAATACTTTTGAGACTATTTAGAGGGATTGAGATATATTTTTGGAAGTATATCTAAAGTCAAGATAAAATTTACGTTTTCATAAGAGGTGAGCACCCGGGAGAAATCCGTGGTGTCGGTTTTCCACATCCGGATAAATGTGAAGGATGATTAGGGTTGCTACTACTAAGAAGTACAGTTTGAGTTTGAAGTGACATTTGGATCTATGAGTCCTTTTAAGAAGAAGTTATAGTAGTAGTAGTCCCTAATCATTCAAGAATTTTAAAGGTGGGGTAGTTGGTAGACTGAGTCCCGATTACTCGCTACGACTTACTACTCGGAGGGCTTGGAATCCCTTTTAGGGGGTGTGCACACTTAAGGTAGTCGTTTCATTTCCATTAGCAGTTGTGGTACCGGCAAAAGTCCCGATGTGGCCGTACATAATAACGTAACCACCGGGCTCAACCAGAGTGTTGAGCACCGCCCTTCTAAATTACTAGGAAGATATAGAAAAAGTGAATTTTGAGAAATTCTAAGAGAAGAGTTGCTATAGTATTTTCGAAGAAGTGATTTTGAGAAAAACCAAATTAAAGAGAAAAGAATTTGGTGGAGTGTGTCATTTTTATGGTATTATATAAAATAAAAAAAATTGCCAAACCTGATTATTTTACGAGGTTGGGTAGTACTTACTTAGCTCTAAAGCTAATTTTTGTTTTCTTTTCATTGTTTTGTTTTCTGCACTTTATTTGTGCATGTGATAATGGCTATGTTGATTGTTGATTGCATGTGTCTGAGAGCGGTTGCTAGATGCCTTAGTAAAACCTAGACATGAATGAACATTTTAGTTACGTTGAACATTTGTTTCTTCATATTACAATTAATTATGACTGTTTTGTTTTAGTTGCCTGTGCATCCGGTTAAGAGATGACCGGATGTGGCGGTAACACCCGTTTCCCTATTTAAATTATTTCCGCTGCAAGATTTTTATCAGTTTCGAATGAATAAAGCAAGTTTTTTATCAATAAATTATTATTGCAAGTATTATTTTTGGGCGAAAATTGGGGGTGTTACAAATTGGTATCAGAGACTTTAGTTTTTCGAAGGGATTAGGATACGAGGTAATAGGTCGTAGGGAGAAAATCAGTCACAAAGACGACAACAGTCTAAGCTGGTTGGTGCATAATTGAGCCTTTGCGCTCGTCCAACTAACTGGGAATTTCTCCTTGTGCTGAAACTTCGTTGTTCAAAATCTTTGACGATAACTATGGTCTCGAATCGGGGATTTTCAAAATGTTTTCGTGAAAAAAACACACTAGGAGAATGAACATACTAGGAAATTGGCCTTTCTAGGAACGCGGTGAGAGAAGAACCTTTGCGATACTATTGAATTATGAAATGCATGAGATTCATGCCTCTATGAAGTATGTGGAATATGTGATACACTGTATGTGCTATCTGTTATAAGAATTTGAAGTTAGTAAAGAACTTGTATGATGTAGAAGCCTTATGTATGCCTTAGTACTTAGTATTGATTTCCTTTATTAAGAATCATGCCGCCAAGAAGAAACCCCCTACAACCCCAACCGTTGAGGAGTTGGCCCAAACTATTCAACAAATGGCACGACATATCGGAGCGGCTCAACCCTAGAACAATGGGATTGACTACGCTACAAGGGTAGCCGGGCGTAACCCCCCGAAATATCTAGGCGAGGAGGACCATCTTATCCTGGAGGACTGGGTTCATACCTTTGACAAATTCTTTGACTCCCTCAACTGCCCGTGGGAGCAACGAGTAAATATTGCGGTGTATTACCTACACCAAGAAGTTGACCACTGGTGGGCCGCCAATGGACCAACACTTCTCGAGCAACCGAGCTTTTGCTGGGAGGACTTCAAAGTAGCACTACGTGACCGCTTCTACCCCGATCACGTGAAAGAGGCGAATTATGACGAATTCGTCAATTTCAAGCAAGGTGACGTGACTGTTCAGGAGTACCACACGAAGTTCGTCCAATTTTCTCGTTTCGCCAAAGACCTGGTGTCAACCGAGGGCCGTATGACACGCAGATTTGTTAACGGGCTTAACTACGGTGCCCAAAAGTTTGTGACTGTAGCAGAGCCACGAAATCTGAATGAAGCATATAGGAAGGCTGGTGAGTACTACATGGTACACCAGAAGGAGAGGGAGGCACATAAGAGAGATCGAAAGAATGCTGAGGTGGAGCAGCAACACAAGAAGGCCAGAACTGACCGCCCTGAGCCCCTGCAAAACAATCAAGGCGGGAGAATATTCCAAGTCCAGTGTCAGGGGAGAAACCAGCCTAACCAGACACGGTATTACAAGTGCAAACTCTGCCCGAACAACCATCCTGGAGCAGATTGTGCAGGTAATCCGGTGAAGTGCTACAACTGCAACCTCATGGGGCATAGGGCATATGAGTGCCGGAAGGAGAAGAGGCCCCAAACCCAGGGCTAAAACCAAGGGGTGCACAATCAGGGGAATGGCCAAGCCGGTGGTGGGGGTAACCACGTTAACAGTAACCGTGGTAACCCCGGCAACCGTCCAGCGGAAGGCAACCGTAACCAGGGCCAGGGAGGGAAGAACAATAACCAAGGCCGAATCTATGTCATGAACCAAGCTCAGGCAAATGCCAACGACGTGGTGTCAGGTACATTCCTTGTAAATTCCACACCTTCTCATGTACTGTTTGATTCGGGTGCATCCCACAGTTTTATATCCTCTAAACTTGTGGAAAAGTTAAAGTTAGAACCTACCGCTACACTCAATCTTAATGTAAAAACAACATCTAATAAAGTTGTAGCTTGCGGGAGTGTTTTATCCAATGTTTCTATAGTCATATCCGATACCGAACTACCCGAAGATCTAATCCAATTTGACTTGGAGGATATTGACGTGGTGTTGGGAATGGACTGGCTAGGAAAATATAAGGTGAGGATTCTTTGTGCTGAACAAGAGGTGGTCTTGAGAGGACCCCACAAGAAGCGTGTATCCTACAAAATGGTTACATCTCAGCCGGGCGTGAAGCTGGCAACCATGCAACAACTCAAACGATATGTCCGGAAGGGGTATGAAGCTTACTTATACATGATCCAAGACTTAACATCGGAAGAGCCGACCATTGACCAAATCCCTGTGGTCAATGAATTTCCGGATGTATTTTCGGAAGAAATACCAGGGATGCCACCGGAGAGGGAAGTCGAGTTTTCAATTGATCTGATGCCAGGCACCGCACCCATTTCAAAGGCACCATACCGAATGGCACCAAAAGAAATGCTGGAGCTGAAGGAACAACTCGAAGAACTGTTGGAGAAGGGCTACATCAAACCGAGTGTCTCACCTTGGGGAGCTTCGGTCTTGTTTGTAAAGAAGAAGGATGGGAGCTTAAGACTCTGCATCGATTATAGGGAGTTGAACAAAGCAACCGTCAAAAACAAATATATGTTGCCTCAAATTGATGACCTCTTTGATCAACTGAAGGGGGGCTAGCATGTTCTCCAAAGTTGATCTGAGATCCGGGTACCATCAAGTGAGGATTGCTGAGAAAGACACTCCGAAGACAGCTTTTCGAACGAGGTACGGGCACTATGAGTTCACCGTGATGCCGTTCGGACTAACAAATGTGTCTGCGGTATTTATGGACCTCATGAACCGTGTGTTCCGACCCTACCTCGACTTGTTTACTATTGTATTCATCGACGACATCCTGGTGTACACTAAGACACCAAAAGAGCACGAAGAACATTTGAGGATAGCACTGCAAACTTTGAGAGAGAATCAGCTCTATGCCAAACTCTCAAAGTGTGAATTCTGGATGGATCGAATAGCATTTTTGGGCCACATCATCACCCAAGAAGGTGTATCCGTTGATCCATCAAAGATCGAAGCAGTGGTAGACTGGCCTACACCCACAACCGTGACGGAGGTCCGGAGATTTCTAGGCTTGGCGGGCTATTACCGCAGATTCGTGAAGGATTTCTCAAAGATAGCAAAACCTTTGACTAACCTCACGAAGAAGACCACGAAATTCATATGGGGTGAGGAATGCAAGAAGGCTTTCCAGGAGCTTAAACAAAGATTAACAACCGCACCTATCTTAACCCTACCATCCGGTACCGAGGGGTTCGAGGTTTATAGCGATGCTTGCCTAAAAGGGTTGGGTTGCGTATTGATGCAAAATGGTAAAGTGGTGGCCTATGCATCAAGACAACTGAAGACCCATGAGGTCAACTACCCGACCCATGACTTTGAACTGGCAGCGGTTATCTCCGCCTTAAAACTATGGAGGCACTATCTATATGGGGTACAGTGTAAAATTTACACTGATCACAAGAGTCTAAAGTACATCTTCACCCAAAAGGAGCTTAACATGAGACAAAGACGTTGGCTAGAACTCGTCAAGGACTACGACTTGGAAATTCAGTACCATGAAGGGAAAGCAAATGTAGTTGCCGATGCAATGAGACGATAATCAACCCACTCCTACAGAGCAACATAGATACTACCTGATGAGCTATATTGGGACTTCCAAAAACTAGACATGGAGGTACGAGATTTTGGAGAGGTAGATCGGGAAATGCGGTTACTCACCATGACCGTTACCCCATCTATTTTCGACTAAATTAGAGAAGGGCAATCTGGTGACATAAAGCTGGACAGAATCCGAGCAGACATGACAAATGGTGTAAATGGACCGTTCGAACTGCACGAAGATGGGAGCATTTGACACAAAGGAAGGTGGTGTGTCCCGATGAAATGTGAAGAACTTAAGAAGAAAATTATGGAGGAAGGGCACAACACGCCTTACTCGGTGCACCCTGGAGGCGACAAACTCTACAAAGACATCAAAAAGAACTTTTGATGGACAAAGATGAAGAAAGAGGTAGCTGAATTCGTTGCTCGATGCTTGAACTGCCAGAAGGTGAAAGCCGAACGTTGCAAACCCAAGGGACTCGTACAACCTTTGGAGGTGCCAAAATGGAAATGGGATTATATCTCCATGGACTTTGTTGGGGGCTTACCCCTAACCAAGTCTGGCAAAGATAAGGTTTGGGTTATAGTTGATCGGTTAATGAAGACCGCTCACTTTATCCTGATGAAAGAGACCTGAAGCATGGAGGAGTTAGCTCGAGCCTACATCAAACACGTAGTTAAATACCATGAAGTTCCACAAGATATTGTTTCTGACCGTGATTCTAGGTTTCTATCTCAATTCTGGAAGGAATTGCAAGCTGCTCTGGGGACGAAACTGAAGCTGAGTACAGCCTTTCACCCAACCACTGATGGACAAAGTGAACGAACAATCTAAACCCTTGAGGACATGCTGAGAGCATGTACGTTAGACCTACAAGGGTCATGGGATGAGCACTTAGACTTAATAGAGTTTTCATACAACAATAGCTACCACGCCAATATCAAGATGGCCCCGTACGAAGCTTTATATGGTCAAAAGTGTAGAAGTCCACTGTGCTGGAGCGACTTGACAGACAAGGTGGTGCTAGGGCCAGAATACCTACATGACACCATGGAGAAGGTGAAGTTGATTCAAGCCAGGATGAAAGCTGCACAAGATCGTCAGAAGTCTTATGCAGACTTAGGGAGGAAGCCAACTGAATTTGAAGTGGGAGAAAAAGTCCTACTCAATGTCTCCCCGACGAAGGGGGTAATGAGATTCGGAAAGAAGGGAAAGCTAAGCCCAAGGTTCATCGGCCCGTATGATATCCTTGAGCGAGTGGGACGATTGGCATACCGTTTAGCTTTACCCATGGAGTTGGCTAAGGTAAGACACACCTTAAAACCTCTCGATGGTAAGTGTAATAGTAAGTGCCTCTCAAATACTAATGTGTGATATACTTAGGTACACAATGTTTTCCATATTTCACAATTGAAGAAGTATGTCCGCGACGAATCACATATCCTTAACCCTGAGGTACAAATAATCACCTTACAATATTCGAAATCAAATTCCACATGTCTAACATCGACTTAATTAGGTGGTCGAGTTGGACGAATCATTGACTTATGAGGAAACGCCTATCCAGATCCTTGATACCAAAACTCGTGAGACTAGGAGAAAGTCAGTTAAAATGGTAAAGGTATTGAGGTCTAACCACTTGGCCGAAAACGCCACTTGGGAGTCCGAAGACGATATGCGCAACCGCTATCCAGAGTTATTTGACTAAGGTAATGTTTTGGTTACGAGAACGTAACCTTGTTTTTAGAGGGGTAGAATGTGACACTCCATAAACTTAATAAAAAGAATTTAATACTAAAGATGTGATATTCATTTGTGGATAAATCTTCTTTAGTTTATGTTTCGGGACGAAACATCTTTCAAGAAGGGTAGAGTGTGACACCTCGAAAAATTTAAAAAAAATAAAATAAAATAAATTATCTTATCAGCCAGATAAGATGTTACGAAAGTAACATTTTAATAACTAAGTGAATCAGATAAAATTTTAACATCGATGACATTTTTAACCAGATAAAAATATTTCAATAATAAAAGTGACATTTTAACAATTTTAAAGATATTAGTTAATGATGTGTACAAAATACACCAAACACCACACAAAATAACAAACTCAAAATGTTGACTTTTGTAACTTAATAATAAATGCTACGTATATATAAATAAACTCACATCCATACATACCCAATATATTCATGCACGAAGGTAGGATGTATATATATATATATGTATGTATGTATGTATGTATGTATGTATGTATGTATGTATGTATGTATGTGTATGTATATGAAAGTGTCGGTTATTTGATTACCAATATGTACATAATACATTAAATAGGAGGTAGTACTATGCAAAAATAACAATAATTGAAGTGAACAAAGCAATAGACAAACACGTACTCTTACATTAATGATGCTATGTATGTAAGTTAATTGAATTCAGGCTGAAAGGTAGACCAAGTACATTAACATCCACGATACATGACTACTTGTGCGAAACTTGGGGATGATATAAACCTATGTGTAAAAATCGGATCAGATATACACAACCTAGAATCGCCCTCTTATCAGTATAAATACAATACCCTCATCCTGCTATTCCATTCATTCAAATTCCAGTCGATATATCATATATATATACATACACATATATACGTGGTGTATATATACACACCAAATTTCGCCCCTTTGTTATACTAAAAACCGAGCCTTGAAAACAATTCTAAAACCTTCCTCTTCGTGAGAGGAATCTAACGGTGAAAGAAACGTGAAAAACGGTCGTGAAACGAGAGAGATATCGTTTGACGGAGTTTCGCCGGGCTAACCGTAACGACGGAAAACGGAGAAGAAGAAAGAACCGCCGGTGCCGCCAGTCCATCACCGACCACCGCCGTCCCAGAAGGAGCCAACAGCACCACCATTTCACGTTTCCGTCGAGGTAACCCCTTTCCCTGCATCTAGCCATTACCGGCGTTCTCCCGAGGAAGAAGACAATGGTCTTCTCCTCTTTATTTTTTTTTTATTTTTGGGCCAATTGCAGATGGGCTGTTTTTTTTATTCTTAAGACTTGACCTCATGTTTTGGACTGGCCGAAAATGTATAATAATAATAATGATGATGATGATGATGATGATGATGATGATGATGATGATGATGATGATGATGATGATGATAGGAATATTGACAATAATAATCTGTAAAATGGATTTATTGGAGATGAGAAATATTAATGGTGAAATTGGCTTGGTTAATTGATAGTAATCACTTGGATAGATTTGTTAAGTGTTATTTAACATGATTACATAATGTTAAATAATAAAAAGGAATTGACGGTTTAATTAATAAAAACTGACAAACGAATAATGTATTAAAATAATAATTATTTATTTGGACTTAGTGACATGAGTAGATTAAATAAAATTGGATAGATATTATTTTCACTAATTATTGGATTAATTGAAGTAGATTAATAAGTTAACATAATTACGGACTCAGAAACATCAAGTGTTTAAGTAATTAATAAAATTATATTAAGTTGATGACGATTAGTTAATTTAAATAATTGTTATAATATTCGGATTTACTAGTAATGTCGATTAATACAAATTAATTATGAATTTTGAACAGTTAATTAAATGTAATTCGGATATGCCTTAATAATATTAAAATACAATTAAATATTCGGATGAATTATTAATAATAATTAAGGTAATCTTGAAAATTGAATATTTTAATATAATTCGGATTTTTACATATTTAGTGATGGTGTAGGTGTTAATAATAAAAAGATTATGATGAATTGGGTTAGTTAATACCTCTTATTACCGGATCAGATTAAAAATTAATGAAAAATTATTGTATTAATTATCGAATTAGTTTTAAAATAGTTTAAATAATATGAGATAGATATTACGTATGAAAATAAACTATAATGAAAGTAACTCGAATATATTATAATTCGTATGTTTTAATAATATTAAATTATAGTTAACTAATTGAATATAGAATAAATTAATGGTCATTAATAAATTAAAATTTGGTTATTTTAATTAAATATATGTCGGTTATTATAATATAATCATAGTATTCAAACAATAGCAATTATGGCTGAAGTAATAAAGTAATTTGATTAATAAAAAGTGATTAAGAGATAAAATAGACCCGATTAACTAATTTATTCTATATTAAGAAATTCGGATAATAAGATAAAAAGGGGAATATCGGATAAATTATTTAAAATAGAAGAAGTGACTAATTAAATCATCTTAATTAAAAAGGTGAATATTTAGAGACCGGAAGTGAGGAAGAGAATTAGGAGTATCGGACTTAAGGTAAGTTTCTCTGTCAATCCAAAATTGTTTTCTCGTATTATATGTTTATTATGCATTATGTGATTAAGTGTGAATTTTGAATTATGTGTATGTGATTTTGAGAAGATATTAGATCTATGGTATTTGAGAAGTGCAAACTAAGTACTTTTGGGTATTAAATATTTTTAAATACTTTTGAGACTATTTAGATGGATTGAGAAATATTTTTGGAAGTATATCTAAAGTCAAGATAAAATTTACGTTTTCATAAGAGGTGAGCACCCGGGAGAAATCCGTGGTGTTGGTTTTCCACATCCGGATAAATGTGGAGGGTGATTAGGGCTGCTACTACTAAGAAGTACAGTTTGAGTTTGAAGTGACATTTGGATCTATGATCCCTTTCAAGAAGAAGTTATAGTAGTAGTCCATAATCATTCAAGAATTTTAAAGGTGGGGTAGTTGGTAGACTGAGTCCTGATTACTCGCTACGACTTACTACTCGGAGGGCTTGGAATCCCTTTTAGGGGGTGTGCATACTTAAGGTAGTCGTTTCGTTTCTATTAGCAGTTGTGGTACCGGCAAAAGTCCCGGGGTGGCCGTACATAATAACGTAACCACCGGGCTCAACCAGAGTGTTGAGCACCGCCCTTCTAAATTACTAGGAAGATAGAGAAGAAGTGAATTTTGAGAAATTCTAAGAGAAGAGTTGCTATAGTATTTTTGAAGAAGTGATTTTGAGAAAAACAAAATCAAAGAGAAAAGAATTTGGTGGAGTGTGTCATTTTTATAGTATTATATATAAAAAAAACATTTTGCCAAACCTGATTATTTTACGGGATTGAGTAGTACTTACTTAGCTCTAAAGCTAATTTTTGTTTTCTTTTCATTGTTTTGTTTTCTGCACTTTATTTGTGCATGTGATGATGGCTATGTTGTTTGTTGATTGCATGCGTCTGAGAGCGGTTGCTAGATGCCTTAGTAAAACCTAGACATGAATGAACATTTTAGTTACGTTGAACATTTGTTTATTCATATTACAATTAATTATGACTGTTTTGATTTAGTTGTCTGTGCATCCGGTTAAGAGATGACCGGATGTGGCGGTATCACCCGTTTCCCTATTTAAATTATTTCCGCTGCAAGATTTTTATCAGTTTCGAATGAATAAAGCAAGTTTATTATCAATAAATTATTATTTCAAGTATTATTTTTGGGCGGGAAATTGGGGGTGTTACACATTTGATCCCAAATCTGATGAAGGGATCTTCCTGGGCTACTCAACAATAAGCAAGGCATTCTGGATCCTCAACAAAAGAACTCTGGTGGTAGAAGAATCAATCCATGTGGTGTTTGAAAACCACCTCACTGCTCGATTAAAAGATGAAGGTGAGTCATCCAAATCAAAGGTCACTAGAAAGGCTCCAAGTTGCCTTCCAAATAGCAACGTTCAAAGAGATGGAAAGGCAGTTGACTCAAACGGCAGTCCACTGCCAGCAGTTACTCAAAGGTAGCTCACTGCCAACAGTTGGCTCAACTGTCAGCCTACTGCCAACAGGTGACTCACCAAAAGACAACCTTCCAGGCACTCATGACATTTCTAACCATCCTATTCTACCAGAGGATAGTGAAGAAGAAGAAGAAGAAGAAGAAGAAGAAGAAGAGGAGGATACTCAAATTCTAACCAAAACAAAAACATCTGACATCAAATGGATGAATAAACATCCTCCTCACCAAGTAATTGGAGACATCAATACAGGGGTTCGCACCAGATCAGCAATTCAGAGAGAAGCATTATTCACATGCTTCATCTCTCAAATTGAACCCAAGAAAATTGAAGAAGCCCTACTTGACTCGGACTGGATACAATCCATGCAAGAGGAACTCAACCAGTTTGAAAGAAACAATGTATGGGAGCTTGTACCCAGACCCTATCATCAACATGTGATAGGAACTAAATGGGTATTCAGAAACAAAATGAATGAGGAAGGCACCATAGTCAAGAATAAGGCAAGGCTGGTAGCCAAAGGCTACTACCAGGAAGAAGGTATAGATTTTGATGAAACCTTTGCTCCTGTTGCCAGATTGAAAGCAATAAGAATCTTCTTGGCTTATCCTGCTCATAAGCAATTCACAGTCTATCAAATGGATGTGAAAAGTGTCTTCCTAAATGGTGTACTAGAAGAGGAGGTCTATGTGGAGCAACCTCCTGGTTTTGAAATCAATAGAGAGAAGGATCAAGACTACAAATTACACAAGGCTCTTTATGGACTCAAGCAAGCCCCAAGAGCATGGTATGACACTCTCTCCGAATATTTAGTGAATAATGGATTCACTAAAGGAAAAGTAGACAAGACTCTATTTAAAATAGAAGAAGGTCCCCACATACTGCTTGTTCAAATCTATGTTGATGACACAATTTTTGGAAGCTCAAATCAAGCAATGTGTGAAAAATTTTCAACTCTCATGCAAAGCAAATTTGAAATGAGCATGATGGGAGAGTTGAACTATTTTCTAGGACTACAAGTGAAGCAGACTCCTCAAGGTATCTTCATCAACCAAGCCAAATATACAACAGATCTCATGAAGAAGTTCAAAGTTGAGAACAAGTCTACGGTCAAGATATCCATGAATACATCACAAGGTCTAAGTCAAGATGAAGATGGCAAGGATGTTGATCCTACACTTTATAGAGGTTTGATTGGTTCCTTATTATATCTCACCACGAGTAGGCCATACATATCGTACTCAGTTGGAGTATGTGCAAGATTTCAATCAAAACCTAAGGAAAGCCATCTTCTAGTTGCAAAGAAGATTTTGAGGTATCTAAAAGGTAATCCTAACTCTGGATTATGGTACCCAACAAATGGAGGCTTTGAACTCTATGGCTACTCAGACTCGGACTTTGCGGATGCAAAATTGATAGAAAAAGTACCTCAGGTACTTGTCAATTAATTGGTGGAAGACTTGTCTCTTGGTTCACCAAGAAACAAAATTCAATTGCTACTAGCACTGCTGAAGCTGAATACATAGCTGCAGGCAGCTGCTGTGCACAAATACTATGGATGAAACAACAATTGAGGGATTATGGAGAAGAAACAAAGGAGATTAGCATATTGTGTGATAACACTAGTGCTATTGCTATCACTCATAATCCGGCATTTCATTCAAGAACCAAGCACATTGAGATCAGACATCACTTTATCTGAGAGCATGTTGAGAAGAAAACCATCAAGCTTGAGTACATCCCCACGGAAAAGCAGTTGGCTGACATCTTCACCAAGCCATTAAATGAAGATAGATTCAACCAAATAAGGCAAGAACTTGGAATGCTAGATGATCTAAATCAAGCGAAGGAATAACCCTGCATCTATTCAGGGGGAATTTGATTTTAAAATTAAGCGAGAATTCTTAGCCACCTGCTGAGGGGGAATTTCTGTGAAGTACTCAGGGGTAGCCACCTGCTAAAGGTAAGCTACTCAAAACATCAAAGGAATGAGGCATCAAGGTCCAAGAAAGTCACTATTAGGATTTCAAGATCAAAAGGAGTTAAAATTCGAACAATTGGCTCAGCAGTTGACTGCATCCTAGCAAGCAGTGGACTCAGCAGGCGACTGACTACTAGCCCACTGCTACTTGTATAAAGGAAGGAATTGCACATATATATATACTTTTTCAAAAAGGAGGGAAAGGACTAGAAAGACACTGGTTCAAAAAATATATATGTATACTTTAAAGACACTGGTTCAAAAAATTTGCGCAGATGCCTGCCAGCAGGCGACTGCCTCAGGAGCAGGTCACTGCTTCAGGCCAGCAGTTGGCTCAATTTCTGACAAATGTACAAGGAATCTCAACAATGACATACATCATCTTGATCCCCTCATATCAAGGATTCCAAAAAGCAAACTCTTGTTCTCAGAAACCATCAAAAATCTACCTCCATTTGAGCTCCCTACTACCAGTGTGAACACAGTTAATGCTGAAAAGGCCAGCCGTATTCTCCAATGGCTATATTCCAACGACTAGTTCCCGATAGCCTATAAATACTCCCTCCGTACATTTCTCTTCACACATTTCACTTTGCAATCTCTTTCTACCTATTTCAAAGCTCTCAAATTCTCTCTTTGCATTATCAAAAGCTCTCTTACACACAACCACCGCAAACCATTTCATTCTCCATAAACACCCAAATGGCCTCCCTTGTCAAAATTTCCAAATCCATCTTTACTGGATCCATCCTCAACACCCCCAAAAATCTTGAGAGGGAAAACAACAGTGATCTCATGAAGGAGCTCCTGAGAAAGCTAGAAACAACCGGGCTAATGAAAATGGTCACCTATCCATATCCCTGTTTCTATCCAGAAATCGTAGCAGAGTTCTACTTAAACTCAACTTCTGGCATGCTAAAGTCAGTAGTTCTGGGGCGTGAAGTAGAAAACAACCAAAATGAAATCAGGGATCAGCTATCTTTGTCGGGAGAGGAATCCCCAGAGATAGAAAACATCTCTCTCGACGAGGAAGCCTTCAAAGAAATGGTGTTCCTTCCCAAGGCTCACCACCTCAACACACTAAAAGTGAAGAAGAACATGTTGGTTCCAGAATACGCCGTTCTACTGGACATCATGTACAAATGCATTGATAATAGAACCACCGCTCTGGATGAAATCAACGCACAAAGGGCACCTGCACTGGTCGCAATCATCTCAGGGACCCCACACAATTGGTCCAGGTATGTATACAAAGAACTTGTGAGATATGTAACTAAATCTCAAAAGGACAGAAGGGATGATGGAACCCTTCCACTACTGGGTTATGAGTTCTTGATTGGGGAAGTAATCAAAAGGAAGGGGATAATAGGGGAAATTAAAGAAGAGACCATCTGGAGGAAATTCCTCCATCAAACCTCAAAGGCCGGGGCACCAAGAAATCAAAAACAAGATGATACTCTCCCATCCCACGAGCCTCTCCTAATCACCTTTGACAAAATTAAAACAAAGACTGCCAAGTGAATCAGATCAGGATGTCAAGAAGACAAATCAAAGAAGACACGAACAGCAACAAGGAGCCTACAAGCAGAAATGGAAGAGGCAGCCTCATCTCTCCAATTGGCTCATGTAGAAGCAGTGGCCTCCCCTCTCACCATCATCAATGAAGCAGCAGAGTCCTCCTCACATTCTTCCAATGCTAGTAACAGTTCTGTCATCCCCCTCTCAGTACTCATCCCCAGGCTGACACACCACACAGAGTAGGCGGCTCAAGAAGATGAGCATGCAGCTTGTTCAGGCGAGCAGGTGGCTCCCCAACAAGCAGAGCAGGTACCTCCCTCTCTAGCAGTTGGCTCACCCAACCTAACTCCCCTTGAGCAGCTAGATGAAGAATTTGTCAGGGTCAAAGAATGGAGAAGATGGAAACTATCTGGCATCCGTATCCAAGCTGAAACCTTGTCTATGTTCATAGATGAGGAAGACTTCGCACTACAATGGCTTGAAACAGAAGATCTAGCAGAAGCAACAAGACTCTACAAAATAAATCAAGTATATGCAATAAAAAGGAAGCAGCTCACTGCTAAGGATGCGCTCCAAGACTCAAGCGATGATGATGCTGACAATAATCCAAAGGGACCACCAGACTCAAGAGGTAAGCAAATCATTCACTCTTCTTCCTCCAGTGATAAAGAACTCAGGCAAGTCCTTGAGAAATCAAGGATGTAGACTCATGGAGGAGGAGAATCCTCCAAAGCTCCCAAAGAGCAGTTGGCTGCTACTCTCCCTCAAGGGACCCAACTGCTGGACCTCAACATGGAGCCTCACCAAGAAGAAGTCCCAGAACACTAAGCTACAACCTCACCAGAAATCAAAGATCAAATTCTCAATGATGGAGCTGAGGACACTTCAACTCTAGCAGAGGTCTTCATCAATGAACGAAGAGCAACAATAAAATTTGTCAGCAATGTCGAACTCAGAATACACAAACAGTTAATCAAAATGCAGAGGCATTTTGACAAGCTATTGGAGGCCAGATTTGCAGAGGTTCACTGCCACATCAAAAGCAACCTCATGATCCAGCAGGTGTTCAATTCGGAACAAAAGGCCCACCTGAAAATGCAACTTTTCCAGCAGCCTGCTCAACTAGAAGACATCCACAAGGAACTGGCAGCTCAAAGAGCAAAGGACTGGGAACTTGAACTTCAAATTCAGACTTTCCTCAAGCAACTGCATGATCAAGAGCAAATAGGAGCATCTCTACATCAAATTCATGAACATGAGGCCTACATCAAAACTTAGCAAGGACAGTCAGAAGCAGTTCAAAAGGGCCTTCAGGAACTTCAAGCTCTATGTGTAGAGCTCCAAAGTCAACTTCAGGTAGTCCAACAACCATAAGTTGCAACAGAGCCCTCTGCCCAACCAGAAGCTGAGCCCTCTGCCCAGGTACTTTCAAAATCTGCTTTACCAACTAACCTTGAGCAGGCCCTTCAAACTATCCAGGTGCATGAGAAGTTCCTACACTATCTCAAAACCAAGGAGCTACCTGTCATCCTTAATCTCTCCAAGAAGTTGGTCACAAAACAAGTGGAGCACTCAGAGGCAATAAGAAAAACTAGAGCAGATGTTGTTGATCATCTAGGACAACTTCACAAAGCTACTCAAGAAGCCCTCCTAAAGCAAGGAGATGAACTCAAGAAACTTGGCCTACACCAACAAGCAACAACTCAACAGCTTCACAAACTTGACCAAGAGATCAAAGAAGAAGTCAAGGTAGATGTAACGGATCTCCGAAACATAGTCAGTGCACTCGCCATTGAATTCAAAGATCTCCATCCAACAAGGAGAATCCAGCAAATAGAGGTTGACTGTGATCCATAAATAGCAGCCCTATTCCAAGAAAGCCAGACCCCTGCTGATGCCAAAAAGGGGGAAAAGAGCAACACACGCAGGCCCCTCCTCCAGCAGGTCACTGGCAGCCATAAAGGGGGCAGAGACAAGGAGAAAGAACAAGAGACTCAAGTAAGAAATGGAGATCAGAAAAAGAAAGGCAGAAGAAGCAAAAGCCAAAGAAGAGGCAAAGAAGAAATCAGGAGAACAAGAGTAGAATAGATGAAGTCCGAAACTGACTATAAACTATTGTACTCTAGACTTTAGAACAATGTACAAAATCTCAAATGAAAATCAATAAAAATATTTCACTCTTGTGTTGTATAGTTTTGGCATCATCAAGAAGGGGGAAATTGTTAGTACCCAATTTTGATAGATTTTGATGATGCCACTGTACTTAACACGTGTACATTGTGTCTCAATATTGTTCGTGTGTCAGCATTCAAAATTATGTGACAAAATAAAATGTACAAGTTTTGAGTCAATTTGAATATTACCGGAAAAGTTAAAATGCAATAAGGTAATTTTTATTGATATTTAGATCCTACAGGTATATATTATTTTAGCTCAAAAGTTAACTGAATGTCACATTATTAAAGAAAAAAAGGGTCGAAAAATCAAATACATTGAATGTAAATGATTGAAGACAAAAATTGACTAGGCAATTAATACATGGGACCGAAGCATAGGACGCATATATTATTATTACAAGAAGATTTTTTGAAGAGATGCTTCAGCGGCTAAGATACTCAAGACAAAGAAATCATCCCAAATAATGCTCCAGCGCAAGAAAACGAATGTACAATTCGTCCTTGCAAGAATTTCAACGTCAGAGATTAATTCATCCTAACCAACGGATGAGATTAATCTAAAGGAGAAGCCTATAAATATAGGCCAAAACGAAAGTTTCTAACCAAGCTTTGAGCATCCAAAATAGAGAAATACTCACACAAGCATTCACGAGCTCTCTAGCAAAAGAGAAAGTGCTATTATAAACTTTACTCTCTGCTTGGACTCATGTTTCACTAAACTTCCAGTTTACAAGCTATTCATTGCTAAATCATAGAAGTTTAGTTCCTAGTTGGAGGTTAGAACTTTCTTGTAACATTTCACAAGTTGTTGTAAACACTTAGGAGAACAGTTGTTCAGATCCTAAAGTGTAAGTAGATAGATAGAGTACCTTTTGATCCTCACTGGTTCATTAGAGAAAAGTCTAAGGACTGAGTAACTTTGAGTGGTGCTATACTCATTGTGAAAAACCTTCAATCTAGGCCTAAGTGTTGTAAAGACTAGATTGGCACTAAGTGTATTGGGCTTAATACTTTAGTGAAATCCATCTGAAAGAGGGTGGGACTGGACGTAGGAGGATTACACCACCTCTGAACTAGGATACACTGTGTGTTGATTTACATTCATTCAACAAAGCACACACTTAGCACTTCTTACAAAAAGATTGAAGTTTGCCAGCAGAATCCTAAGCAGTTGTCTTAACTGACCCAACTGCTTATCTTACTGCTAAATTACTTACTTTCTTTGAGACCATTTTCACACAAGAGACGTGCATCAATATCACTAAAAGGCCTGTCCAATCATTTTCCATAAATTCATTCTCTAAGTATAGCAGGTGCCTCAGGAGTCCCCTGGTGTCCACCCAACTGTTGAGCCCTCTGCTCGTATACACTTGTTTCTCTTGAGCATCTCACTATCACCGGACCTTCATAACATTACCAACAAGGAAGTTGACCAAACTGCTCTCTGAAATTCACCCTCTAAACCAAGCATGTACCTGAGCAGTGCCCTCATCACCACTCAACTGCTGAGACCACTGCTTCAGTAAAACTCCTGATTACTTTTACTAAAGCACATTTTCTGAAAGCTCTCATTATTCTCAGCAACATTCCATCATCACTTTCATCAAACACCCAATAAATCCTCAGTAGTTGCCTTAGCAGTTCCCTGTTATCTAGCCAATAGCCAATCCAACTGCCAGACATTTGGGTTCATTCTTCCACCAGGATAGAAAGTATTCATACACTGATTCCATAAAGGGTAAAGACTTCCGTTGTGCGTCTATAAATCTCTCAAAAGATTATAGATCAACTCTTTAGAGGGAAAAACGCATTAAAATTGAAAAAGATTTAAAAGTCTATTCACCCCCCCTCTAGACTTTTACCCTATCCAGGACCATCAAATGAGAAGTTGTATCAAAATAGTAATGGAAACGTTTTGGGCTTAATTGAGATGTTGGCAGAGTTTGACCATGTGGTTCAAGAACATGTTCAACGTATTAAAAATGATGAAATTCATTATCATTATCTAGGGCATAGGATCCAAAATGAGTTAATACTCTTGCTTGGTTCTCAAATTGAATATGTAATTATTGAAAAAATCAAACAAGCAAAGTAGTTTTATGTGATGCTTGATTGTACTCCTGATATAAGTCATCAAGAACAAATGTCTTTAATATTGAGATATGTGGATGTCTAGTCAAACTCGGTTAGCGTTGAGGAATCATTCTTAGGTTTTTTGAATGTTAATGACACGACTGGTCAAGGTTTTTTTAATGTTATGCAAAATGAATTGGTCTCTCTTGATCTTGAGCTTGATAACGTAAGAGGACATGGATACGATAATGGGTCTAATATGAAAGGAAAACATCAAGGAGTGCAAACAAATTGTTGTATTTAAATCCTAGAGCTTTTTATACTCCATGTGGTTGTCATAGCCTTATGATGGAGTATATGGCCCGGGAAACCCCGGCCCACAGACTCCTACTACTCCAGTGAAGGCCCAACAGGCCCAAAAGGCCCAACAGGCCCAAATCACAGCGCCCAGAGTACCAAGCAGCCCGCAAAGCGCACCAAGGGTGTCTTCGGCCCCCCGGCCGAAGGCTCTAAACTCTCACAGAACGGGTTTTCCAAGCAAACTAAGAAACTGGGAGAAAAACGGCAGAAAACAGTAGCCCTCGGCATCTGGAGCCCTCGGCACTCAGGGGTCCTCGGCACTAAGAGCCCTCGGCTAGTCCTATGCAGCCGAGGGCACCTCTCCCGACATGATATCCGCACCACATGCGTACAGATCACCGTACCCTGTACAGATGTCCCATCCAACAGTCGCATTAAATGCGGCCACATGCGGCTGCCAGCGCCAACCAGTTGAGATGACCTCTCGGCCAGTGGGCGTTTGACGCGTGTCCCTGTCCGGCATTTATTGCTACTATAAATAGCACCCCATTTCCCCATTTGTAACCACGCTGAAAACGCTCCACACTTATAATATACTTTCTCTCTCTACATTTACTTACTCTGACTTCTCTCTTATTACTCCCCGTAATAACCCCTCGGATATATACCCCCCGGGTACACTATCCATCACCTTAATTTGACTTCATGTGACATGGCGAATACTTGTGGTAAAGCTAAAGATTTTTTTGGAGTTATTCAACGTATCTATACATTTTTTGCAAATTCCACTAAAAGATGGCAAATTTTGAAAGAAAATGTAAAGGGATTAACTCTTAAATCATTGTCATCTACTCGTTGGGAGAGCCATGTTGATAGTGTTAAAGCTATAAGATTTCAGGTTTTAGAAATACGAGAAGATTTACTTGAAGTAGCAGAAACTGACAATGATTCCAAAATTAGGAGCGAAGCAAAATCTTTAGCCGAAAATGATCTTGGTAATTTTGAATTCATTGTTGCGGTAGTTTTGGTATGAAATCTTATATGCTGTAAATTTAGTTAGCAAGGATTTGCAAAAGATTGACATGCTTCTTGATGTTGCTATTGAAAAATTGAAGGGGTTAATTTCTTATTTTGAAAAGTATAGAGAAACTGGTTTCTCAAGTGCCTTAGAAATTGCATCGGGCATTTGTATTGAATTGAACATTGCCGCCGTATTTCCTCAAAAGCGGCAAATTAGAAGGAAAAGACAATTTGATGAGAATCCAGATGATGTGTGTTCTAGTGTTTCTCAATCTGCACAGGAGTTGTTTAGAGTTAATTATTTCTTGTGCATTGTTGATCAAGCAATAACATCACTTACCACAAGATTTGAACAATATCAACAATATGAGAATATTTTTGGGTTTTTATTTACCTCCGAAAAGTTACGTTTATTAGATGATAACAATTTGAAATATTGTTTTAGTTGTCTTGAAGCATCACTTAAGAAGGATGAACAATCAGATATTGATGGAGTTGAATTATATGTAGAATTAAAGTTGCTTAAAGACTTTTTGCCGATGGAGAATATGAGGCCTGTTGATGTCTTGAAATTTTTAAAACGTCTTGATTGCTTTCCTAATGCGGTTATTGCTTATAGAGTTCTGTTGACTGTTTCCATTACTGTTGCAACTACAGAGTGAAGCTTTTCAAAACTGAAGGCGTTAAAGACTTACATGCGGTCAACAATGACACAAGAAAGACTTAACAGATTGACTTTAGTAGCAATTGAGAGCGACATATTAGAGAAGATTGCATATGAAGACCTTATCGAAGACTTTATTTCAAAGAATCTTAGAAGGATAGCATTATTTAAATAAGGGTAGTTTAATTTCAAAATATTGGATGTGATTTTGATGCTCTTGATGTATTAGTCGAAGAAAAATTGCATTTTAGTATGAAGTATTGATGGATAAGTGTATGCGGGGGTATCTATCCGAGGGGTTACTGCGGGGAGTAACTAGAGAGAAATCAGAGCAAATGAGTAAGAGAGAGAATATGTATTAAGTGTGAATTCAGCGTATTCAGAATATGGTTTACAAAGGAGAAATGAGGTTCTATTTATAGTAGCAATAAATGCGAGACGGGGACACATGTCAAGCATCCAACGGCCGAGGGGTCACATCAACCGGGTGGCACTGGCATTCACATGTGGCCACATTTAATGCGGCGGTTGGATGTGACGTTGTACTCGGTACGGCGATCCAGGTGCATGTGGAGAGGATATTCTTGTCGAGGAAGGTACCCTCGGCTGTAGATGATTAGCCGAGGGCTCTTCTTGTCGAAGGCCCCTTAAGGCCGAGGGCTCCCGGTGCCGAGGGCTACTGATTTTCGTCGTTTCTTCCCAGTAGCTTTGTATGCTTAAAATAGCCGTTCTGTTAGAATTTGGAGCCTTCAGCCAGGGGGCCGAAGGCACCCCTGTGTGCTCCGTGGGTTGCTTGGTACCCGGGGCGCTGCGATTTGGGTCTGCTGTGCTTCCTGGGCCTCTTGGGCTTTTATTAGGATAGTAGGAGTCTATGGGCCGGGGGTCCCTGGGCCATATACTCCATCAAGTATAATTATAAAATATGATATTACTTTTTATTTAATTATTAGTATTTTTTGTATTAAATATTAGGGCCTTCGATTTTTCTTTTGAACAGTGCCTCTCATTTGTCAGGACCGGGCCTGGACATAACTGTTGTGATTCTCTATGCATGTGCTAAATACGAGTTCTCTAACATGTATACATATTGTGTTTCAGGTACTAATTCATGTGTACTGTATGAAGTCCTTGTGGGTTATGTATTAGTTCTTAATTGTTGTGCACTAGACAATATTTTTTTTATTGTGATACTCCTTATGGTGCTTTATATACAAAATATTTGTGAGATACCACTTTTCGTGTGCATTGAATATTGATGTGTGTGTTAGATACATGTTTTTGTGTGTCATATTATATCATTTGAGTGGCTGGAGATGCTTGTTATGTTTTATTGTATACATCTTGTACTTTTTTTAAAAATAAAAACTATATATGCTATATTGATGTCATATGAAAGATAATAAAAAATTATTCAATTTGATACAATTTTTGATAAAATTGAATCATAATTTGACTGTCTTCCCGATTGAATATTTAGCTGAAATATTTTGTGTATAAACTAGACTTGATGAATAACATGCCTGAAAAATTTCATCAAAAAATTCCACCGGTAACCGCCCCAAATGGCGCCGTCCGGATGGTGGTTCTGGTCCGGAATTCTGGAGCTGAACTTTTCTATATATATGGATTATATATATGTGTGTGTGTGTGTGTGCGCGCGCGCGCTGCAATTTATATTATATAATCCGTATTAAGTAATAACTAGTTCTTACAACATACAAATTCAGGTTGTGTAATTAGTATATGAATTTATTGTTGTATAATTAGTTAGGTTAAGCATGTTAAAATTACTAATAAGGATTGGGGAGTTTTCAAACACTTCTGATGAAGAGAATAATAGGACAAACCAACCTGGTGTAGTTAGTTCGCTATTTAGATGTAAATATTACGTTTTCTAACATTTTTATACATCGGAAATGAAAGATTTCTAATAGTTTGAGTTTAGATATATGTTTATTTTAAAAAATTCTGAGTTTTTTATGAATTGCCTATTTACACAAATAATTAGGGGATTTGTACAAAAAGTGGGTCAACTGGCGTGTACACGAAAAAAATTCTTCATTTATCTCTTGCCTTTCTCGGCACCCCCTGAAATAAAATTTTTGTTCCGCCATTGCTTTGTAGCATTTCAAAAGTGTTCCTTGCACCCTTTCATTTGCTTAATGGGCTAGGTATTGCATTTTTAACTTATTCATTAGGCACAGTATTTCAGCATTGTTCCTTGCGCCCTTTCCTTTCCCATGTTTGTTATCTCGTCGTAGAGAGTCAATTTTTCCTGCATTTCTTTGCTTTTTTTTTCTGCATAAATTCGGGAAAAAATTAGTTACTTAATAGGTGTTTAAATGGTGTTTCCGAGTAAAGTCATCATAGGATATAAGTTCATGGTCTATACAAGTTCATGGGAAAGAAAATTAAAAACATACTAAGTGTTTGATAATATGTCAAGACTGTCTCACTGCACTTGCCTTCAAGTGCTGTAGTTTTTGCTGCGTTTTTTGATGTTTTTTATTGTACTTTTTGATGCATATTTTCTGTTACGTGATTAAATAGTGTACATAAGTTCATTTGAAAGGAAACTAAAAGAACACTGAGTTTTGATAATATGCCAAAGCTATTTCATTGCACTTGCTTCCAATTGGTGTGCTTTTTGCACCACTTTTTGCTGCATTTGTGTTGCATTTTTTGCTGCATATTTTATATGGAGTATTAATTAAGGCTTGGATTGTGATTATATGTCTAAATAAGTTCATATGGAAGAAACCTAAAAGCACAACAGGTGTTTGACAATATGTAAATGGTGTTTCATTACACTTGCCTTCAAATACTGTGTTTTTATCGTGTTTTTGCTACATTTTTTCTTGATGCGTTTTCTGGTACATATTTTAGACTCCGTATTTTTCTAAAGCATGTATTTCTTGTGCATATTTATATTAGAGCCTTGCATTATTCGACAATAAAAACGTAAAAGAATATTAAAAATGCTTATGCTAATGGTGTAAGCTTACACAGGATCCGCATGTAAACTAATGATGTCTAAAACTCCTCTCGACAAGCACTCTCTAATGCTGACCTTCATGTGCAGTTTATAGCCAACAGTTTACAATTACATTTTAGAAAACTTCTATTTTCATATCACACAAGTGGTCCTTAAAACCAATGACTTCATTGAGCACCAATGTTCAAAATAGATCCAAGAGAATTATATTATGATTTTTTTCCTTCTTTTCAAAACTACCTTAGATATTTTCCAACTATATTGAGGCTTCTAAACTCACATTAAATTTGTTTATTTAAATATATACGACCACACTTATAATATTGATGCCCCCTCAATCACTTTATAATTGTTTATATTTTACCATAACACCATCTAATTGAACTACATCTCATGATTTCTGAAAATAATATGTAGTACTTCTTCCGTCTCTTTTTTGTTGCAACAGTCAACATTTCATGTTTGCCAACGCACAACTTTGATCATCATTATATTTAATTCTGTATTAGTAAAAATAAAATAAAAATTTGATTATAAAACTTAGTAATGAGATGAATTTAACAACATTTTTCAAAAAAAAAATCACATACATTAATAAATAAAATATAGACAAAGTAAAGTAAATGAATAGTGTATATATTCCGATGTTGCAATTAATGAGATATGGAGGATAGTATATGTTATGGTATATAGCAAATAAAATTAACATTTCATACATACTTAGGTTAAAAATATTTTACACAATTCATTAAAATTGAGAATAGGGCATATTACATTCATGTGGTCTTTAAAACTAAATGACTTCATTGAGCATCAATGTTCAAACTCGTATCATGAGAATCATATTATGAATTTTTCCTTATTTTTGAAAGGCTAAAGGGTCAAATAGGTACATGAACTAACTTAAAGTGTTCAATTAGACCCTTATATAAGAGGTTATGCCCGACCGTCGCCAATTGGGGCGGTTCCCGGTAAAAAAAATTGATGAATTTTTTTGAGCATATTCTTCATTAAGTCTAGTTTACACATATCAAATTTCAGCTAAAAATTATATAGGGAAGGCAGTCAAATGATTTTCCAAAATGTACCGCGCTGTTTAACTGCGCAGTTATCTTCAAAAAATCATTTGACTGCCTTCCCGATTGAATTTTTAACTTAAATTTGGTATTAGTAAACTAGACTTAATAAAAAAGTTCAAAAAAAAAACATCAAAAAATTACATCAGGAACTTCCCCAATTGGCGACGGCCGGGCAAAACCTCCTATATAAAGGACTAATTGAACACTTTAAGTAGTTCATGTACGACCTTTTAACCTTTTTGAAACTGCCTTATTTTTTCAACTATGCTGAGGCTTCTAACATTTTAAGCTCAATTTAGTAGTGGTGTACTGGTGTTAGTATTAGGCTCATTTTTTCTCATAAGAACCCTGATTACTTCAAAACTAAAACTAAAAAATTTGCAAAATATGTATAGACATGCAGGTAATATTTGACATCCAAAACCATCGCCATGAGGGGCAGTCGAGCGGTGGAGCGGCGGATCCTCAGCCTCCTTCACGGCCAAAACACCAGAACCCAGGTATCCGAAATCTACGGCCACATTTTGCGCCACCAACTCCACCATTCCAACCATGTTATCTCCCACTTGGTCTCTGTCTGTGGGTCCCAGAACAAGATGGACTGCGCCACCTTGATCTTCCAACAATTTCCCTACCCCAATATCTTCCTCTTCAACTCCATGATAAAGGGATTCTCCCTTCGTGGTCCGTTCCTCAATTCCATCACACTGTTTTCCGGTATGAAGAATCTCGGAATCTGTGCGGATGAATTTACGCTCGCCCCATTACTGAAGGCGTGCGCGAATCTCCCAGAGGATATCAGGTTGGGTCAAGCAGTCCATAAAGAAACCATTGCTCTTGGTTTCCGTAGGTTCAACTCGATTTGCATTGGGCTTGTGGAGTTGTACTCGACCCATGAGATGATGTCAGATGCGGATAGGGTGTTCGACGAAATGCGTCAAAGAGATGTGATTGTGTGGAACTTGTTGGTTCGTGGGTATTGTAAAAGCGGGAATGTGGAAATGGGTTTGAACATTTTTAGGCAAATGGAAGAGAGGAGTGTTGTTTCTTGGAATTTGATGATATCATGTTTGGCACGAAGTGGGATGGATACAGATGCTTTGAAGCTTTTCCATGAGATGATCCATAATGGGTTCGAGCCTGATGAAGCTACTTTGGTCACAACATTGCCAATCTGTGTTCGTTTGGGAGAAATCAGGTTGGGGAAGTGGATTCATTCTTATGTCGACTCTAAAGGCCTTATCTGTGATTTTGTGTCCGTTGGAAACGCATTGGTTGACTTCTACTGCAAATGTGGGGATTTGGGGCATGCCTCTTCAATTTTCGAGAGCATGGCTGGAAAGAATGTCATTTCTTGGAATGCTATGATCTCAGGTTTGGCTTACAATGGGAAGGCCAAACTCGGGGTTCAATTGTTTGACACTATGATAAAGGAAGGCCTTTGCCCTAACGAATCGACTTTTGTAGCGGTTTTAGTATGTTGCTCCCATGCAGGTTTTGTGCAAATAGGGCAAGATGTGTTTGCTACAATGGTGAAAGATTATCATATTGACCCAACATTGGAGCATTATGGGTGCATGGTTGATCTATTGAGCCGTAATGGACATGTGATCGAGGCTTATGATTTGATAAAATCCATGCCGGTGAAACCAAACGCTGCACTATGGGGTTCTTTGCTTAGCGCTCTACGCACTCATGGTGATATGGAACTTGGTGAGTGTGTGGCTAAGGAGCTTATTAGTCTTGAACCTTGGAATTCTGGTAACTATGTGCTGTTATCCAATATTTATGCAGACCAAGGCAAATGGGATGAAGTTGAGAAGGTGAGGGAGTTGATGAAGGGATGTGATATTAAGAAAGATCCAGGACAAAGCATCTTAAGAAACTTGGGGTAGTTGTATCATACTTTAGATGAGATTGCTACTTTTGGGCTTTTGGCCGTGTGATGTACATGTGAATTTGTGTAACATTATAATTAGGGTAATTCAATTGGCTAATTACAGTCACATATTTTCAATAGTTCTTATTTATCCTTAATGCAGTAATCATCGGTCGAACACAGCCTACCCGGAATTCTAGTCTCATAAAATATGGTCTTCTCTCACCATGGTGTATAGCGAAATCTGGACTGTCAACTGCCCAACTCTTGAGAAATAGAAAGATGAACCGAAATTACTTGCAAACTGCAATACCTTTCTTAACTTGAATGGATTTCCTAAGCTCTGCTCCACCTTCCTCTTATCATACACCATTTTGCATATCATTTCGAGAATTTGCAGTCAACTTAACTTATTGAAATTATTTTTAGTCTTCCTCGAATCTGAGCCTTTTAGCGGTTGCGGGTTGATTCAGCAGGAAGCTAATGAATGGTGAGGGCAGTTCGTTGACGTCGTTAGTGGCGGCCAACGACAACGCGACGGCGGATTCTAATTGCAGAATTTTTGGAAAATACGAGCTGGGGAAGCTTCTTGGTTGTGGGGTTTTTGAGAAGCTGCTTTGAAGTCCTTGCTACAAAGAAGAAGATCTATTTATCGCGGAGGCTGTGGACTGCGGATTATTGTATTAACTATTAAGGACTTAAGAGGAATTTTTAAAAATATATGGCTGCACCTAGTAAATAAATGGTTGAGAATAGAATTTCCCTTATAATTATAGTGCAGTATATTTTAGGGTCCAAATTACTGTTTTTTTACAGGGACGCCAACTGAATTAATTCAATAAAGTGTTAGCCAATAAATATATGTGGGAGATAATAAAAGCTGTCCATTTGACCTGAAATAGAAAGGCATTTCTTAATACGGAGTAGTTGTTTACAATAATAACTTTATAATGGGTGACGGTGTTTGTGTTGACTCAAAATAGGACGTTTTGGATCCATACTATTATCCACTAGTCTTTGGTAAAGACGATACGCTGATTCAGAGCATGGACATCATTGTCGATCAGAATATCGATCTGATCATGAAACATTTCCCTTATTCGTTCGATCCTGAGGTCCTGGGTTTCTCCAAGTGTTTTATTAACAGTTTCGAACGGGTTATGGAAGAGCGCGTTGAACGAGCCAATGAGGCAGCGGGTGGTGGAGAGTCTAGCTCCAAACTAGATTCTTCCAAGGCCAATTAAGTATGGGTCTCCCTTGTAATTTGTACATAGGATTTTTTTTACCTTCTGTACATTCCGGACAGTAGCTCCGAAGAATACACATATTTCATTTTTATGTTAGTGCAAGTTCCCTTTACTTGTCTTATGCTTCCTCGATCCTTTTTATCTGTTTTTACAGCTTAGCATTGATCGGTTGATACATGTCATCTTCCAAACAGTGGCAGAACTAGCTCGAGAACCTTGGAGGGGCACATAACACATACTCCATAAATTATACGAGTATATATTATCGATATTGTAATAAATAAATCGATACAATTTAAATAAATCAACTAATTAAAGAATACATAATTTTAATTGATGCATCAAATGAATGAGAGTTTTTAACATTATTTCCAACGTCAGGAATGAGATTATCTGACAAAGACATTAAATTACTCGATGAATAACACACAATGTTCGAAGTGACTGTGTTTGTGAATAAAAGAAGAAAAATTCCAAAATGTGGCTCTTTTGTTTTTGTCCCCCAAATAGGAGTAATTAATGCTAAATTGAGAAACTATTGTCATGTTTAAAGGCTAGTACTGCCAAAACATTACAGTAATTACCCCTGAGAAAATAAAAATATGATAGTTCTATTTTGAAATACACAAACATTTTTACTCATATTTAGGATAATTTTTTTATAAAAATAATTTATAACATCAGAAAAAAGCACAAAAATCCTAAGGTGGCTTATATCCTAGTTCGCAGTCATGTACAGTGTACACCCCAATCACTAAATAACTTTTCGAGATTCAACATATACATCTAAACAAATTCGTGGAATATAAATAAAACCTATTTCAAAAAAGAACATAAACCAAACCAAATTAAATTAAGGTGACAACTCCGGTACCCACCTAAAAATTGGGGTATCATTCTTTTGATTGGTCCAAATCATTATATCATTTTTAATTTAGATTAAAATAATTCAACTGCAGCATTCTGATTGGTCCATGTGGACAAAGGTATGATACCTTAAAGGTACCATAGAATCTACCTTAAATTAATTCCGGGATTCACTTGCCCCAAAATCAAACCTATTAAAACACCTTGGGAAAAATCTTATGCTAGACCAGATAGGACGTGTCCTGCTGGCTGTTGCGGTTGTTGTGCAGGATGGCGGAACTCGGAGAGCCGGAAAGGTTGACTTCTGTTAGTCCCTGTTTCTGTAACAACAATGAATAATCGATCTAACAATGAAGATTAAACGTAAAGATGAACAGAGAATGAATCACCGTAAAACCTTCTTTGATAAACCGTGGAACGTACAGCAGAATAATAAGCGTAAGGCTATGAATAATAAGTACGACGTTCAACCTTTTCCTAAACCTCTGCTCCCTTTTTATAGGCGAGGTTTAGGTTAGGCGTACCAGGCTTTTGGCCTATTAAAATGGGCCTAACACTTGGCCTGATTTCTATCTAATTTATGCACTATTTAAATACAAGGATTAAATATAAAGCTAATTTATGACCAACTTGATTCACAATTAAATATCTCCAACAATCTCCCCCTTTGTGATCAAGTGTCATTCTCTTATTGCTTCTGTGATTTGAAGTAGTGCTTCCTTAATCCAAGTGCATGTTCATACTGCCTCAGCACATTTCTCTTTTCGAGGCGATCGTCAATGGCCTTTAAAATTGTCTCTACAGTAGAGTGTTCCTTTTGAACATAAGACGATGCCTCTTGAAGATTTTCTTCTAGCTTTGCCTTCATCTGTAGAATCTGCTCTCTGATTATCTTCAGTGTTCCGTCGCAGTACTTCTCGATTTCACTGACTACCATCAGACGCTTTTCGTTCTTGTAGTTCAGATAGGTGACTGCTGGCGGTGTGAAGAAGATGTGGTAGGCTGGGAAATCTTCAAGTTCTGGACCATACAGTTTTGGCTTTGTCAGATTTGTCTTCTTCAGATTGCATTCAATAGCCATCTGTAGATCATGTGAAGAATGTACTCGGATCTGTCTAAGCATGAATCTCTTGATAGCTGCGAGGCCTTCGCTGTATACTATGCTCTGCCTGACTGGAAGGTATCTGTAGGCCATGAGGATTTGGTAGATGTCATCCGGTTTTAGCATGATGAAGTCGTTCTCTTGACAAGTGAATTCGCTCCCATCGGTGCGTTGAAGTCTGAAAGTGTAGAATGTTACTCCATGATAGTCTTCAGCCTTCACTTGTAGAATTTGATGAATCGGGAGAATATTCGACTTTAGATCTTGTTCCATTAATTCTCTCTGTGTACCGGTTGACCTTTGCAGCAACATATGCAGATGACCTCCAGCCTGCTTTCCTTTCAAGTGAGTAAGGCCTCTTAGCTTCAGTTCGTTCAGTGGCTTGACTTTGTCTGGTCTACGCCAGATTTGCTTTCTGATTTCTTCTTGGAAGGGGGCTTTGATACGAACATTATCCCAGGGTTTCTCTGTCTTGGGAAGTCTTCCCGCTGTTTGTCTTACGACTGATTCAAGAGTCTTCTGGGATTCCTTATAATTCTCCCCTTCCTTGCGTTCATCGTCCTCGAGCCGTATAATATCTTCAGAGCATTTGTTGATCAGCTCTCGTAGCCACCAGTTTCTTTGCATGTCCTCTTGCTCGGCTTCAACCCGGAGATCATCCCATTCTGTCCATTTTCTTGGCCATTTGTCGTATATCACCGCCTCCTCCAGTGCATCATGGATGTCTTTGCCTGGGGGGATGTATGGAACTCTTTGCTGCTTTTGAGGCGGTGATTGTTCCTTGGTAGCTCTGCCGGGTTCACTTGGATTGCCCGTTGACATCAGCTTAGAACTAGGTTCCAACTGATGGCCTGATGTGAAGGATGTACCAGTGGTAGCATCATCAGGACTTCCATCCCCTCCTCGAACAGTATCTCTGGGAGATACGCCTCGGGATGTTTTGTCTAGCTCGACCACGCTAGAGAGATAGGCTTGGTTTTGGCAAGTGGAGGGTGGTGGTTGGTTGATGAAAGTCTCAGGTTGTTCGGTTTGGGGGCTATGAGTGGTAGAGGCACCTTGCTCGAGTATCCGTGGCCTCTTGTTCTCCCCCTCATGAGGTTCCGGATCATCGGGATCCTCATGTGAACGTTTGCGACCACGGGGACTTTCACGGCAGGTGCCCTTGGTGTCCGGATTAGCGAGAAGGGCAGTAAGGACGCCTTGCTGGTAGGGAGTGAGGTCAGTGTGGGGTATGTTTAGGAGATGATCCAGCAAGATCGATGCCAGGACTTCGAAGGGTTGGGATAGTAGTTCGATGGGAGGTGTGGTCGGGTGTGGGGATGATACTTGTTCTGTATCATGGGTTCCCCGAGAAGAGATAGGGCTATGGACTTTGGTGGAGGTGGCGGAGATGACTGGAGAGGTTTGAGATTTGGTGTGAGAAGGTGATGGGTGTGGTTCAGGCTGGTTGTGTTCACTATGCACTGCCGGGGTGGTCTTGGATTCTTGTGCCCAAGCGGTAAATGCTTGTTGCACCCATGGCTTAATGGTGGAATCCAAGAAACGGTGCATAAGAACGGTGACGTCTTCGGTAGTGAGGTGTTCAGTTACAGGGGTTGTAACTGTTGTCACATCATCAGTGAAGAGAGCTGATGTGTGGCCTGCATTCAATGATGGAGTCATTGTGGGCGTAGCAGGGCTTCCGACCGTCATCGTTGGTACTCTGGTCGTTGCTTCCAGGGTGCGTGCACCTGTATGTGCGGTGAATAGTGTAGGTGTCCTAGAAAAATTAGAAAATGTAGGGAGTGTGACACCTAGACTCGATGTGCTCAAGGAAGTGGTGGTGACCTCGGGCTGTTGGTCACTAATTCGCTCGACTGGTTCGGAGGGAACCAGAGAGGTGGGTGAGTCCCGCTGTTTTGAAACAATAGCCTGTTGGGAGGCTATCGAGTGGCTGGGAGAAGGCTGTGCTTGCGCAGTTGAGCCAGATGCTGCGACTTCTACCCGGGAACCGAAAAGATCGGCTCCTGCACTTAAAGATTCAGCTCGGCTTATATTAATGAAAGGTTGACAATCGGCGAAGATATGCATTTCGTCCTCGTCAACAAGGTGTCTTTTGACGAGGCGTCGCTTCTTGGAGTTGAGTGACTGTGGAGCATCATTTTTCGCTTTGATGCGCTGCTCCCTGACGATGCCGGTAGCACTTGCTATTTTGTGACTGGCCGTCGTGGTTTTGATGACGAGCTCTTTGGGGCGTGTAGCAATAATGGGGGCTGCATCCTCAGCGGTGATTTTCTTCGGAGGAGATTCAATAGGCAGCTTACCCTTTTGGATGAGAGCAAAAGTGTGGTCCACATCGTCATCATCATCGTCATTATCATCATTAGCGTTGTCACTTCTGGCCACGCTATCGGAAGCCTCGTCGTCAGCCTCTTTGTTGGCCGAGCTGAGCGAGTCATCAGCAGATTCCTCAGCGTTCGTCGGTTTGCCCTCAGTTGTCCGAGTCCTCTCGAGAGATTCATCGGACTCTCCTTCATCGGGCCGACGTGCCACTGGCTTCTGTGCCTTTGGGGCGCTCTTGGGACCCTTACTTACTCTCGGTTTAGTCCCCTGGGTAGGTCCAGATGGGTTTTTCTGAACCGTAGGGACTGTTCTCTCAAGGTTTTCCTTGTATGCGACGATGATTGGATTTGACTGATTTGCCAGGTTGAGCAGAGCATCCGGAATCCGCAGTCCCTGAGCTGCTTTCTTATCAGCTTTGAAGTATTGGAGCTTTGGAGCTATGAAGTGTGGATCATCAGTACGTCTGGGAATGGATGTGTTTGCGGTCATGCAGTCATGGATGATCAGCCCCAACCACCTGGCGTATGGAATGGTGCCTGACCTGTTTTTCTCTTTGGCTTTTACCATGTCCATTAGCTCTGAGAAGAAGAGTTGAGCCATGTCATACTTCTTGTTATATGCGATGCCGTGGAAGACGCAGAATATTTGCTTGTTGCATTTGTCCAGTCCGGCATGCTTTGGAGAGAGGCACTTGTTGACTAGCCCGAATAGGCTCTTCCAGGGACGATAAAGGTATGCTCCATTGAAGTTTGACAGTTTTGGTAGTAGAGAGTCATAACCCAGAGCCACGACATCTTTGAGAAGATCCGGACTAGAAGGAAGAGGATCGTAGCTGTCATGTTCGGGGAGCGCCAGTGTAGAGCGAAGAGTTGCTGGAGTCAGGACAATCCTCATGTTGTTGAACTTTGTGAGGATTTTAGTGCGGTCTTTTGTTGACTCGGTGCGCATATGTCCCCATACTTGTTGGAGGTAGATTTCTGGCACCGACTTTGATTTGTGGAAGGCGGTCCAGAGATAGTGGCGCTTCAGAATCCCGGGGATGACTGGATCCTGACACTTGAAAATAGTCAGATCCAGCTGGAAGTTGTTGTCCAGCACCTTGACCCACCTATCTTGTGGGTATATGGCGTCGTCAATATTATGTCTCTTTTGTGTACCTGCCATAATGAGCTGTGGAAAACATGGGTCAGTGCAAAAGTCCATTTTTATTTTTGGTTTCCTGAAATCAGATGAACTGTTGTTTGGTTTGGTTTTGAAAAGTGGAGTGCAGGTGGTGGTCGAAATCCGCTAAGGCAAAAGCTCGAAAACTGAATCTCGAGTTTTAAATCTCGAGATCTCAATCTCGAGTTTTAAATCTCGAGATCTCAATCTCGAGTTTTAAATCTCGAGATCTCAATCTCGAGTTTTAAATCTCGAGATCTCAATCTCGAGTTTTAAATCTCGAGATCTCAATCTCGAGTTTTAAATCTCGAGATCTCAATCTCGAGTTTTAAATCTCGAGATCTCAATCTCGAGTTTAAATCTCGAGATCTTGTCACGAAGTTCAAACGACGAGATCGAGATCCTGAGCTTTAAAACTAAAGAAATCGAGACGTTTTGCCTTTCGACCGAAGACGAAACCACCTGCAATCAAACAAAAACACATATAATCACAAAAACACAGTCCCGAGTTCATTGTTCGTTTGCGAGATTTGGCAAAACAGAATCGAGTGTTTCTTTATGTTTTTGTTTTCGAAAACCATGATGAAGTTTGATGAAAACGTTGGACTACCTTAGCTCGGAAGGCGAGAAGAGGGAGAAGGATTAGAGAGAGAAAAGTTCCGAGAGCTCTGTGAGGTTGGGACGGAAAAGAGAGAATGAAGAGATTCAGGGTTCTCGGGAACCTTTTAAACGCGAAAAAGTGGGCTTTGCGAAAACTTGGTAGTTTGGGCCGAAAACGTAGAGCTGGGCTCAAAAAGTCGTTTGAAAAGAGTTTGGCCCAAACGATTATAAAAATTCTCCCCCTCGTTTTGGACACTAGAAAAAAAAAACGCACACATGCAACGCACGCTATGTACAGGATGCGACGCACACACACTATTTATTGTTCTTTTTCAGATTTTCTCCCCCTCAACACATGCAACACACACACACTATTTTTTGTTCTTTTTCTGGTTTTCTCCCCCTCAACACATGCAACGCACACACACTATTTTTTGTTATTTTTCTGGTTTTCTCCCCCTCAACACATGCAACGCGCACACACTATTTACAAATCCCACACACACACACTTTGTAGATCAGTGGAAACATAATTAAACGGGCTCGAGGTTCAACATGCCCAACTTGGAGACTAGGATCTGGAATCGTTTTTCATCCAATGCCTTAGTGAACAAGTCAGCCAGTTGAAGCTCTGAGCTTACAAAATACATGTCAATGTCTCCTTTCTCCACACGATCCTTGATGAAATGATAGCGCAGGTCGATGTGTTTGGTGCGGGAGTGATGAACCGGGTTGCTGGTGATGGCTATGGCGCTTTGTGAGTCACTGTAGATCGGGATATGGCGGAGAGTGTAACCGTAGTCCTTTAGCTGGGTCTTCATCCATAATATTTGTGAACAACAGCTAGCAGCCACGACGTATTCTGCCTCGGCCGTAGATGTTGACACACAGTTCTGTTTCTTGGAAGACTAGCAGACTAACTTATCGCCCAAGAATTGGACTGCCCCCGATGTGCTTTTGCGGTCCATCCGGCAACCAGCAAAGTCAGCATCCGAGTATCCGACTAGGTCAAAACCTGAGTGCTTGGGATACCAAAGGCCTAGATTCACAGTGCCTTTGAGATATCTCAGAATTCTTCGAACAACGGTCAGATGGGATTCCTTCGGATTTGCCTGAAAGCGTGCACATAAGCATGTGGAGAAGACAATGTCAGGTCTGCTTGACGTGAGATATAGCAAAGATCCAATGATGGCCCTGTAGTTTGTAGCATCAACTTGCTTCCCGGAGGGGTCTGAGTCCAGTTTGTTGTTTGGTGACATGGGGGTCGTCATGGAAGATTTGCCATCAATGTTGAATCTCTTAAGCATTTCCAGAATATACTTTGACTGATTGATGAAAATGTCGTCAGAGAGTTGTCTTACTTGCAGGCCTAGGAAGAAATTCAGTTCTCCCATCATGCTCATCTCGAACTTGGTTTTCATCAGTTTCTCAAAGTGTTTGCACAGACGTGGATTAGAGGAGGCGAAAATAATGTCATCAACATAGATCTGAATCAGGATGATGTCAGACTTCTGTCGCTTGATGAAAAGTGTGGTATCAATCTTCCCTTTTGAGAAACCTGAATCAACCAGAAATTCGGTTAATGCATCATACCAAGCTCTTGGTGCCTGTTTTAACCCATACAGAGCTTTCTTTAGCTTGTACACATGGTCGGGATATCTGGGATCTATGAATCCTTCGGGCTGAGCGACATAGACTTCTTCTTCCAAGACTCCATTCAGAAAGGCAGTCTTGACGTCCATTTGAAAGACAGTAAAGTTCTTGTGGGCTGCGTACGCAAGAAAAAGGCGGATTGCTTCAATTCTTGCTACGGGTGCAAATGTTTCATCATAGTCTATGCCCTCTTGCTGATTATATCCTTTAGCGACCAGTCGTGCCTTGTTCCGTATCACTATGCCTTCTTCGTCCTTCTTGTTCTTGAACACCCATTTTGTGCCAATGATGGTTTTCTGAGGGGATTTAGGCACGAGTGTCCATACATCTAGTCTGTCAAATTGATTGAGCTCATCTTGCATGGCAATCACCCAATCTGGATCAGCGAGTGCCTCTGAGACTTTGGACGGTTCATTCTTGCTTAGAAAGCATGCATAGTGACATTCATTTGCTGTTGCTGATCTTGTTCGCACACCTTGACTTGGATCACCTATTATCTGTTCAACAGGATGTGCTCTTGTCCACTTCCTCTCATGAGCTAGAGGAGTTGGAGTAATGATTGGTTGATCTGAGTCCTGATATGAGTTTGAAGGCTCTGGAGCAGCTGTGGTGTGTAGTGGAGATGATTCCGGACTTATGGCAAAGCCGTGATCATCCACACCTCTGGGATTGGTTTGAGGGGTTGAGGGTGTGGATGGTACGTCATCTGGTCCTGTGAGGAGCGGAATCTCTGCTGTTGGAGTTGATGTTGACTCTAGAGTGTATGCAGGAGGTGGAGATTGTGAGTTCTCGTAAACGTTTCTGAAGAGAGAGTCGAGAATCACATCGTCGTGTTCGGTGTTTGGTTCAGCTTTATCAGAAGCTACTGGTACAGTAGTGGATGGATCGGTCTGGATATGTTCAATAGCAAAGTCTGCCATTTCATAGAATGTAACGTTTACACTCTCGATGACAGTCCGCTTGTCTCTGAGATGGACTCGGTAAGCTTTGGATTGCAGTGAGTAGCCAATGAACACGCCTTCCCTGGCTTTGGGATCCAGCTTACTTCTCTCTGTCCGATCATTGAGTATGAAGCACTTACAGCCAAAAACCTTGAGGAAAGAAATATCAGGAGTTTTGTTGAATATGATCTCATATGGAGTCTTGTCGAAGCGCTTGTGGATGAAGGTTCTGTTCTGAGTGAAGCACGCGGTATTGATTGCCTCTGCCCACATGAAGTGAGGCAGTCTTGATTGGATTAACATGGTGCGTGCTGCTTCAACAAGAGTTTTGTTCTTTCTCTCAACAACTCCGTTCTGCTGGGGAGTTTTAGCTGCTGCAAATTGCTGAGTGATACCGAGTGATTCATAGAACTCAGTGAGGGTCTGATTTTTAAACTCGGTACCATTGTCAGTTCTCACAATTCGAACACTGTGCTGTAGCAGTTTCTGGATCGTTCTGATAAAGGTCATAATGTTTTCCGCAGCTTCGTCTTTTGATCGAAGAAATTTTGTCCATGTATACCTAGAGAAGTCATCAACGATCACCAGAGTGTATTTGCGACCGTTGATGTTTTGTACTCTCATAGGTCCACACAGATCCATGTGTATTAGCTGCAACTGATGAGTAGATGAAGGTTCAGTTTTTGACTTGTGGGAGCTTCGCGTCATTTTGCCCATTTTGCAGGCACTACAATGATTTTCAGCGGAAGTCTTTAGCAGAGGAAGCCCCTTTACAAGTTTCTTGGAGGACAAGGTTGATAGATGTTTGAAGTTCAGATGGGAGAGACGTTTGTGCCATAGGTTGTTCTGTTCAGTTGAAGCTTTGGACAGCAGACAGATGGAAGTGGTGGATTGGACGCTTTTCAGATCAATAGTGTACAGATTTAATGTTCTGTAACACGTTAATAATGTATTCCCTGTGCTGTCAAGAACACAGCATTGTTTTGCAAAGAACCTCACTTCCATCCCGCTGTCACAGAATTGTCCAATGCTCAGTAAGTTGTGTTTGAGCCCTTTGACGAATGAAACATCTTTTATTGTGACGCTGGCACAGAAGACGTCCCCATACCCAAGGATAGGAGATGAGGCGTCATTCCCGAATCTGACATTTCCTCCGTAGCAGTTGGTGTAGTTGCTCAAAAGGTGCTTTATTCCGGTCATGTGGGTTGAGCATCCTGAGTCTAAGTGCCACACATGACCGTCCTGCAAAACAATCAAATAGGATTAGGTACCCAACTTGGAGTGGGTCCTTCCTTATTATCAAGAAACACCTTTTTAAATCTTGCTTTGAGCAGTGATCCAAGGTCAGCTGCTCTTTCAACAAAAGATCTATCTTTGATGGGCTTTCCAATAGCCAGATCTGCTTTTGCAGTGTGTCTGGTTTTTGGAGTCCACCTAGCACTTTCCATTTTGGTGGGTCTGATGTTGTGAACCCACCTTTCCATTTTAGTCCTTGTGGGTCTAAGTTTGGGGACCCACCTTTCAGTTGCAGTTATGATGGGTCTTCGATTTGGACCCCACCTTTCAGTTTTAGTTATGATGGGTCTACGATTGGGAACCCACCTTTCAGTTTTAGTTTGGATGGGTCTTCGTTTGGGGACCCACCTATTCGATTCAGGTTTGGTAGGTCTCATCTTGGGGACCCACCTTTCCGTCTCAGCTTTGACGGGTCTTATCTTGGGGACCCATCTTTTCGTTTTAGGTTCAGGAGGAGAGTAGACAGGTGCTTTGTGATTGAACGGTTGTTTCTTGAGTTTGGTTTTGAAAATCTCCTCCTTAGAAAGCCGATTAACATGTTTCCTAGAATGAACTCTAAGGGCATATTTCATATCTGGAATACAAAACGTTCCCTTAGAAGTTCCTTTCTTGGTTTCTTTTTCAGATTTAAGCTTTCTGGAAGGATTAGATTTAACAACATTCATATCACATTCATAATTATGGGGATCTGGAACAGAATAACCATAAGCAACACTTGTATTATAAATAGAACTTTGTCTAGAAGATGTCTCAGAAATATTCAGCTTGGGACTCAAGACTGAACTACTAGAAGTTTGCTTTGTAGAGACAGAATTACAATTAACTTTTGAGTAAAAAATTGAACTAGATCTAGGGCTGGCACTTTTCTCAAAAACTTTCTTTTTGCCATCTGCGATTTCCTTCCTCTTTTTCCTCCACTCATTCTTCTCTTCTCCTTCCTTATTCACTTCATTCCCTGTAAACAAAGGAGAAGAGAGATGAGTGGACGAACCTTTAAAAGCATTGTTTTTCTCATGTGAGGTGTGTGAGCTGTCAGGCTTGGTCGTAGAAGGGTCTGTTTTAGCATGAAACTGCTCACTCAAATCATTAAATTTTTGAAGAAGTTCCTGCCAGTTGCGCTCAAAACCTTTCTTTTCAGTTTCAAATCTCTCTCTCTCGTTATCAAGAGTTTTTTGTAGGTTTTTGAGCTTTTGAGCCATGGGAAAAATACATGGTTCTTCACCAGTTTTAGCAATACCAACTCTTGGGGGAGGGTCTAGAGGGTGTCCTATGTGAGGAATATCTTTAGCATAAGGGTCTAGGCATTCACTAAAGCAGGAAGTAGGTTTTTCTTCTGAAAGTTGTTTTTCATTTACAGAGGGATAATCACAAGAAATCGCAGGTTTTGGTTTCTTTCTCTTTTCTTCTTCTGCTTCAGCATAATCTTCATCACTTCGAAAATACATTTTCTCGCCAAACCCTAGTCCCATGTAATCTTTGTTATAGATTTGAAGGCAATTAACTTTCTTAAGATTACGTGGGTTGGTTATGCCCAGTCCTGTTTTAGCATTGTAGAATCGGTCATCCTTTTGTTTGTTGTTAAGCAGAAAAACAGTTTGTTCAGATTGACCTCTTCTAGCAGCTAGATCTTCTAGTTCTTTTACTTTATTTAAAAGCGTTCTTCTTTTGTTATGCAAAAAATCGCATTCAGCCTTTGCTGTGCTTTTTTCCCGTTCACTGTCCTCAAATTTCTTAGTTAATTCAGCTATCTTAAGTTCAAAGCTTTCAAAATCTGAGGACACCTTTTTGACTTGATCTTTTGCAATTTCAAGTTGAATACTTAAGGAAGACTTTTGGTCTAGATTCTGTTTCAGAACTCTATGATTATTGTCTAGTCTCTCCTTCAGTTCTTTGATTAGATTGTCCTTTTCAAGTAAGGACTGCATTTGATTATTTAAAGAAGTATGGGAGGTACTTACAGAGCTTGTTGAGCACTTGCTTTCGGGGATCGCAGCATCACCCTTTATTTCATCTCCCTCCATACTTTCCATAAGAGCATAGTTGTCTTCTTCTTCCTCCTCCTCAGAAGAATCTTCTGCCCAATTCTCATTTTCAGCAATCATGGCAGAGGTTTCTTCTTCTTTCTGCACCATCAGCATTTTCTGCTTATTCCACATCATCTTCTACTTGTAGAAGTTAGCATCTTTCTTCTTTGGGAGGCGGCAGTCTTTGATCACATGTCCAGGCTTGCCGCAATTATAACATTTAGGAGCTTCTTCTGCTGATGATGCCTTCCTAGAAGATCCTTGATCGTGGTTCTTCTGCTTGTAGTTTGAGGAGGAAGTTCTCAGCCTGTTGGAGGAGGTGTTCTTCTTAGCAAATCTTTTGGCCAGCAGTGCCATCTTCTTCTGTAAGTCTGCTAGCTCAGCCTCTAGGTCAGATTTGTCATCGTCACTCTCATCATCATCTGATTCAACCACCACCTTCTTCTTTTTCTTCTTTAGTGAAGTGGTTGTCCTTCTTGACTGAGCATCCATTACAAGAGCTAAGGGGTTTGTGGTGTGATGATCCTCAGCACAGGCAACCTCGTTGACAAATTGTTTCAGATGTTCATAGAGTGTGCAGAGGTCAATTTCATCCAAATCTATCCGAGATCTGACATCCTTCACTGTCTTTTCTCATGCAGGATGCAGACTGGATAAAAATCTAATATTCAGTTCCAGATTGGACCTGAATACTTTGATCTTTCTGAGTTCATTTACCAGTTGAACAAGTCTGTTGTAAGTCTCATTCAATGGTTCTCCTGGACCTGCTTTGAAGGAGTCATAAGCGATGAGAATCGTAGTCTTCTTTGTTTTGAGGCTGATGCTTGTGCCTTGTAGCAGCTTCTCTATTTCATCCCACATTTCCTTAGCTGTCTGCATGCTATCAATGAGAACATAAACTTCATTTGGTATTGCTTGAAGGAGATACGTTTTGGCCATAAGGTCACCACGAAGTCTAAGCTTGTCAGCTTCTGTGTATTCAGACGGTACTTTTCTCCTTATTTCTGGAAAAATAGGAGGATTGTTCTCTGGATCTCCACCAACTGAAATCAAGAGTTCAGCTGGTCCTTCAAGCAAAGATTCGAGCATTGCAGAAGAGTTCTCTTTGTGCTCGAGGAAGTTTAGAAATCTGTTCCTCCACATTTGATATTCTCCCTTCCTGAGGCTAGGAGGGGTACTGCTGTTCCCTTGTGCATTGTATTCTGAACCCATTGCTGTCCTAAACTGACCGTTCGAGAAAATTGATCAAAAGATTTTCAGAGGCAGAATCTCGAAAAATCAGATGTCGAGATCTGAATATCGAAATCTCAGATTTCGATAAAGGAGGCCCGGTATCGAGATTTGGGCTCGAGATTAAGGATCTCGAGATTAGGGATCTCGAGATTTCAAATTTCGAGATGCTGATCTCGAGATTTGAAATGTCGAGAAGTTAATCTCTCGAAATCTTAATCTGATGAGTCAAATGTCGAGACCAGATGTCGAATCCTTTTCTCGAAATCAAGATTTCGAAATCCTAGATGTCGAAATCCTCAGTGTCGAAATCCTTCAACCTGTAAAAATCAGATAAACAAAATCTGAAGGTAGTTTCCTGTAGAGTTGAATGTCGAGATCTTCTGGTAAAGTTTTCAGCTCGAAAAACGTAGCAGAACCTGTGAAGAAGTAGGATGTCGAGATGCCTAGCTCGAGATATCTCGAAATCTAAAATTGCGTAAAACACAAACTGAAGTATACCCTTTGATCGCTTTGAAAAGGCGATTCCAAAGGTGTAACTTTTACAACTTTTGAACAAGAAACAAAACTACAGAGCAAAAAATCGTCAGAATGAACTACGTTAACAAAAACAGAGTATTCTGCAGGAGTTCTTCTGATCGTTCTCGATCGGCTCTGATACCAATTGTTAGTCCATGTTTCTGTAACAGCAATGAATAATCGATCTAACAATGAAGATTAAACGTAAAGATGAACAGAGAATGAATCACCGTAAAACCTTCTTTGATAAACCGTGGAACGTATAGCAGAATAATAAGCGTAAGGCTATGAATAATAAGTACGACGTTCAACCTTTTCCTAAACATCTGCTCCCTTTTTATAGGCGAGGTTTAGGTTAGGCGTACCAGGCTTTTGGCCTATTAAAATGGGCCTAACACTTGGCCTGATTTCTATCTAATTTATGCACTATTTAAATACAAGGATTAAATATAAAGCTAATCTATGACCAACTTGATTCACAATTAAATATCTCCAACAACTTCTGCGTCTTTGGCTTGCTGCGCAGAAGAGGGGTCGATCTTTGCTCACTGGTCTTGGCTACGGGGGTTCGGGTATGTATAGATTAATATATATATATATATATATATATATATATATATATATATATATATATACACACACACACACACACACACTAAAAAAACAAAATATTGCAGGGGCTCAAGCCCCTCCAAGCCCAATGCTAGTTCCGCCACCGCTTCCAAACCATAGTTTCGATGCCACCGTTCGGGTTTTTCCGATACGGATCGTCCATGCTACTGATTGAGATGCCCTCATTTCCAAACTATCACGCAGGCTTTCCCGTCCGGTCATCCGGTACGGATCATTCATGCGTGGAGCTGAAATGGTGACTTGTCTCCAAATCAAAGCTAGGATTCCACCCTTCAATCTAGTCCTTCGTGGCCTGTTGAGGCCTCCCGAACTAGTCGTCGTGGTTCATCAAAGCTAATGACTAAGGCAAGATTTAAAATCATAACTTCGATCCCCCGTTCAGCAGCGTCTGGGTTTGACCCAACGTCCGCTCAACTCGTCTATGCTCCTGGTTCAACATCATCTCCAAACTGGTTTGAAACCCTCATTCGGTCATCCGGAACGCAAGGTCAAACCTAGCTAAGATGATGGCTCTCCTCGAGACCGAAATGAGGATCCTCGTTCAACCATCCAGAACGATTCACTTACACTTGTGGTCAAGGTGAGGCTTTAACCATAACTTCGATCCCTCGTTCGATCCGCCTGGGTTAGACCCGACGTCCGCTCGGGTCGTTTATGCTCCTGGTTCAACATCATCTCCAAACTGGTTTGAAACCCTCGTTCGGTCATCCAGAACGCTAGGTCAAACCTAGATAAGATGATGGCTCTCCTCCAGACCGAAATGAGTATCCTCGTTCAGCCATCCAGAACGATTCACTTACACTTGTGGTCGAGGTGAGGCTTTAACCATAGCTTCGATCCCCCGTTCGATCCACCTGGGTTTGACCCGACGTCCGCTCGGTTCGTCCATGCTCCTGGTTTCTGGAAGTTATGTCTCCCTCTCTCATTCATCAGCTTTTTCAAGAGGTGGCAACAGCCGTTTTCATTGATAGAAATTTCTTAAATGCTCAACGTTCGATGTTCCTACCGAACGACCTTCTGTTGTTCTGAGGCCGAACGTCCCTGTAGCATATTTCTTCCAAACTTGGTAAGGGCCTTCCCAATTCTTTGCTAGCTTCCCGCTCTCGAGCGGCTTGCTTTTCTCCCTTTTCCTGAGAACAAGATCTCCCACTTCTACCGATTGGGTCTTGACCTGCTTGTCAAAGTACCTCTGAGTTGCTCGTTGATACTCCTCCATTCTTCTTGTGGCTAAGTCCCTTCTTTCTTCAATGAAGTGAAGTTCTGCCCGCAAGGCATCTTTGTTACGTTCAGGGTCAAAATGCATCATTCGGTACATGGGTAGCAGAACTTCCGTTGGAACTTTGGCCTGGAACCCGTATGATAGAGCGAACGGCGTTTCCCCAATAGCTGTTCTGGGGGTCATTCGGTAAGTCCATAATATGTAGTTTAGTTGATCAGGCCATGAAGAGGAGCACTCTTCGAGTTTCTTTTTTATCCTGTCCATGATTGTTCTACTCATATTCTCGACCTGGCTGTTCGCCTGGTGGTAGGCCACTGATGCCCTGGAGTGCTTGATGCCCCATTTGGTCAGGTACTGCTCAAAGTTCTTGCTCATGAACTGCCTGCCATTGTCGGTGATGATCTTGCTTTGGGAGGCTGAATCGGCAAATGATGTTCTGCCAGACAAACTTCTGGCAATGGGAGTCTGTGATGCTAGCTAAAGGTCCGGTCCCCACCCATTTGGTGAAATAATCAATCCCCGCAATGATGTACTTCTTCCCTACAGGAGCTGTAGGTAGGGGCCCCGGAAAATCGATCCCCTACCTAGCGAGCGACAAGGACGTGGTCATTGGGGTGTAGAAACTTGTTGGCCGTCCGGGCACAGGTGCATACTGCTAGCAGATTTTGCACTTTCGGGTATGTTCAAAGCAATCCCGCTGAATGGTTGGCCAATAATATCCTTGTAAGATGATCTTTCTTGTCAAAGTCTTTGGACCCTGATGACTCGAACAAATCCCTTCATGGATTTCCTCCATCACAACTGCTGCAAGGCCGAGCGGGAGACACTTTAGGTATGGTCCCCCGAACGTCTTGTTGTACAGTTGTCCTTCCACTAGCTCGAACATGGCGGACCTCCTCTGGATGCATGAGACATTGTATGTCGAGTTCTTGTGTAACACCCTACCCGAACCAGTCCCGCCGATCCGAGCGATGTGTCATGTGGTAGAAATCAAAACAGATTTGACCAAAAGACTTTTAATTTTTTAAACAAAATTAAGTATTAAATAAACCACATTTATTAAAACGTCAATTTATTATTCAATACCTGAAATTATCATGTCGTCATAAATCACTTATATTATACAACACCAAATATTTTAACATATGCAGAAGCGTTTATAAAAAACGAAAATGATCATATAAGATTAAAGTCAAACTTGCTTCATGTTTATTTATTTTTAACAATACACACATGGTATGCACATGAATCCTATGCCTACGTCCATCCCAACATCCTTATCTTAGCCGAGTCTACGTCAACCTACGGGTAGGAAAAACAAATAACTACCCGCTCAACAATGTGATGAGTGGTACAATACAAATAATAAAACCAATAATATAATAACATTAATAATGAGAATAATAAAAATGTTAATAATTACTTATCAAATCACATAGCAACGAACATAACATAATTAACATTCAGTCAACAGACATATAACATACCTGAGTGAGCCGAATAACTGTTATTAGAATCAAGATATTTATATACAGATTAGAAACATATTTAGATATCATAATTATCAAATCATTATTATTCAGAGGTATATTATTAATAAATTCATTTCAGCCTTGTACTCAAAAACTGGACCTAGACAGAGGAATACTAACGGTAAGAAATATGATCACAAAGTCCATACCTACATTACCCATAAAGGATATGGAAACGTAATCGTCGGAGCTACACGTACCAATCTCTAACAGGAGCAAGCTAACTGGAAGGACGAGATCACCGAAGAGACTCGAACCTTAACAGGAGAGTAATAGTGCACTAAAATTATTTCAGGAGTGTACAGGTACACTAATCAGGATAACACTAATTTCTCTAAACAGAATTTCAGGAGTGTAATTAGTACACTAAACAGAACAGGAGTATCTACGTCAGTGTACCAGATCAAGAGTAAGGCTAATTTTCATAATAGTACTTATTTATAGCTACATAAATAATCAAAATATGTATTCGTTTTGTTATACTTAAATATTTATAACTAGAGCATGCATACACGTTAAATCAAAATAATACGTAATTTATTATCTATCTATGTGAATATATCTATATTACATACGTATACATGATATTACTACTACAATATAATTTAAAGATAACAATCATTCTTATACATACTAGTATCTTCCCTAAATAAATGTGTAAGTTATAAATTAAGTTAATCTATGTGTATAAGATATATTTTTATACTCCAATATTCAAGCCGGGGTACAAGTATATGTATACAAGTATATGTATAAAATGAATGAAATATAGGCTAAATTAGTTGAAATCTTTATACGGATCTTATCTCAAGCTTTAAGAGTTGATCATGAAATAAGTTTTCTTTTATTTTTAAAGAAATTATACATCTAGAAATCGAAATAAAAATACTATTACTGAATAGTGATTTTTTATGACTAATAATAACAATATCACATACATAATACATGAGTAAATATCTAAACTAATTTAGCCTATATTTCATTCATTTTACTAAAATCAATTAATTAGATATTAGCTAATAGATGATGATGATGATGGTGGTGGTGGTGATGATGATGATGGTGATGATGGTGGTGGTGGTGGTGGTGATGATGATGATGATGATGATGATGATGATGATGATGATGATAATAAGTAAAGTAAAGTAAAGTAAAGTAATGATGATGAGTAGCTACTACCTGAAGTTATATTTATCATTACACCTACGTACGTTGCTATATATACTATTCATTTCGCATACATGTATGAATATCATAATACGGCAGTTCATATTCTGGAAATATCTTTGAGTTATATTTCTTATAACTTCCAGTAGACTTACTCCTTTTTATTTTTAATCTATACATTAGTTAATGAAAATCAAATATGAATAAAAAATTAATAATACATATAAATTGAAATACACATATTCAGAGCATGCAAAATATTTCTAAAATTATACCATGTTCATCATCCCCATAACATATCAGTAACGGGGACGGAAAATATACTAATATGATAATATAAAAAATACATACTTGATAAACATGGGGTCGGAAATGTACTAACCTTATAGACAAAATCTTCTAAACCTCATGATATATTCTTCTTCTTGCAACTCTGTGTTGAATCATGTGAGAGAAAGGGTAGGAGTTTCAAGAGGGTAGGAGTTTCAAGAGCAATTAATTGTTTTCTTCTCTATCTCAATAATGCTCCTCTCTCAATAATACGTATGTCCATTAAGTGTACTATTCAATTTAACCATTCCTTCAATTTAACTATTCAATTTTACATGCAAAATATCTTGTATGAGTAGACATATATTTGGCTGCCCATTCCTAATCAATTTAAGATGTTTTACTATTTTACTTTATTTTGGAGCTGTCCCCATGGCCTTATTATCATGTTAGTACAAAACTTTATCTATTATTTGAGACACATATCTTATCTCCAATTTAATTGAAATGACTTATAAATTTATGAAAAGTGTTAAACGATAATTTTTTTTACAGTTTATTTTAGATCTATTATTTTACTATTAGTTCAGTATTAATTTTATTTTGTTTTTTATAAAACTATTTACTTTATAATTTTATGAAGCTCTTTAATTTGATGGGGAAATAATATCTAAAGTATTATTCATATGTATCTTAACTACCAGATCAGATTTTGGGGCGTTACATCTTGTCTGTTGAGAGAGTCCCGTCCTTCAGGTAGTTGGTCATGTCTGTGACCCAACTAGGAACGACATAAGATGTAGCCTCCACGTGAAGGACCATCGTGGTCGGCGTTGCTAGCGTCTCCCGATGGGCAAACCGCTGGATATGTGGAGGGATGAGCTGAGCCCGATCGTCCAGCGCAACATTTTCAAGTTTCAACAGAATATCTGCCTCGACATTCTCTATTCTGGAGATCTGGTCGAGCACCACCTGTTCAAATTTACCGATCTGTTCCTCGACCAGCTCCTTGTAAGCCTTCATCCTTTCCTCTTTTGCCTCGGCGATTCCGTTCACCTGGCCAATCACCAGCTAGCTGTCCGAACGTACCTTCAACCGACCGACAACTAAGTTCTTGGCATACTTCAAACCTGCAATAAGGGCCTCATATTCGGCCTCATTATTAGTTACCTCAAAATCAAAGGGAATTGAGTAGTGTGCCTTGAACCCTTCCGGAGATGTGATGACTGCTCCGCCTCCGCAGCTTTTGGCACTAGATGCCTCGTCAACGTACATTTCCCACCAGTTGACTGTGGAGGCACCGTTCGAGCTATCCTCTGTTGGCCGAGCGGTGCATTCTGCAATAAAATCTGCCAAGGTCTGACCTTTAATGGTAGGTCGCGGTCTGAAGTCTACCTCATACTGCCAGATCAGGATGACCACTTTGTAATGCGTCCACTGGCCATCGGGTTCCTCAGCATGGTGGAGAGCGACTGAGTGGTAAAAATAGTTACCGGATGGGCCTGAAAGTACGGTGCTAGACGTTTGATAGCAGCTATCAAGACGAGAATGGTCTTATCCATCAAGGTGTACCGTGTTTCGGGGCCGTTCAGGGCTTTGCTGATAAAATAGATCGGCCACTGAACCCCGTCAATCTCCTTCAACAGTACCGAACTGACAGCAAGATCGGCCACCGCGAGATACATATACAAATGCTCCCCTGGATGAGCCTTGGTTAGGACCAGGGGAAGACATGTAGGTTTTGAAATCTTCAAAGACCGTTTGACACTCGGTTGTCCACTCGAACGGGTTGACCCTTTTCATGATCGGGAAAAATGGGATTGCCCGATCGGCTACTATGGAAAGGAACCTGCTTAATGCGGCTAGCCGACCGGTCAACCTCTGAACCTCCTTCAGGTTCCTGGGTGCTTCCCACAAATGGCGCCAATGTTGAGGTTATGTCCCGAACGACCCAAAGGCCCAACACCAACCTTGGATCTAGGATGCGATTTGCTACAGTAAAGTGTATAAAAGAAAATATAAAATCTGATTCAACTACTCCAATAACTAAGCTTGTATTAACACAATAATAACAATTACACAGAAATGGCCGAACGGCTGTTCAAGTCCAAAGGTTAATACAAGAGCTAGAGAGTCAATAAATGCTAACCCTTACAAATGAATTAAATGCTGCTATTTTATACTAGATGGGGGTGTGGGGTGCTCTAGTATGATTGGTTGCCTCTCATGCAACTTGATGCCCCTATGATCCAGCATTAACTGCAGTCGGTTACTTGAGCAATTCTCGTTCAGGATTAAGCCCAGCTAAGCCACCAATCAGGAATGAGCTAATTACCCAAGTGCTAATTACATCCCATTCGAGATGTGTCGAACGGTGCTTGTCGTTCGGACCTGGTGATTTTCCCTGGACCTTCCCTTGCGTCTGGGATTCAGGGATATTCTGGGTCGGTATATTGGGCCGGACCTTAATATTCCATCAAATTTGATGAATGTGTCACACTTTATTGAGTAAGAGACTTTGTGTATAAAAAAATAAAATAAAATAAATAAATAATTTTTTTAATGCATTTGGAATATAATAAAGAATTGGGGACAATAATATAGAAGCTTATATGGATTTTGAAACTATTTTTAATAACTCATAAACATGAAGAAAGGAGTTCTTATATATTATATTAAATATAATAAGACTTTATTAAAACAATATTTTTAAATGGGTCGGGTCCTAAATTTTTTAGGACATACCCCACCCCACCTTGTTTGGGTTTTCTAAATTCAAGACCTGGTCCTAACTCGTCCCGAACCTATATTATCCGACCCAACTCATGGTTCTTGTACCCGTTTATGCACCCTCTAAAATTACTCCAAAATATAACGATGTGACTATGATCATTTTATTCTCAAAATAAGAGTACTTCGTGTTCCATCTTCCCATTCTATCCCTTTTCTATAATCCCCAATAAGATACGTAGTATCTTTTAGTTCTCTATTGCTCCTTAGTAAATATTATACGGAGTACAATTTAGATTTAAAATATTTACAATAAAACAAATTTAACATTTTCTATAATCCCTGATATTTTTGTAGTATAATACTGGCAAAGGTTATATAGTCTGCTGCTCCTGGTTGCTTCATTCGTTATTTCTGCTTCTCCGACCCGCTGTTTTCTTTCCTTCTTTTTATTTCTTCTCATTTCCTTCTTTTTTAGTTTATATCAACATTTTTTCATTTACTTCTAGTGAATTTCCTGTTTATCTTATAAATGGGATGATAATTTGATTGAAATATTCATCCTTCTTTCATTAGTATTACTCCAGGTTTTTTAAATTATTTCCTAAATATTAAATGTCCATCAAATGTTTGAAAAAATTCCAAAGTGAATTTTCATTCTTATTTTGATGAATTATTTCATTGTTTGATGCATTTGTATAAAACTACTTATTATAAATAAATTTTCTTAATATTTCTCATTATAAAAACATACTCGTAATTGAGTAAAAGAATTAACCATATCAAGGGTATTTGAAAATAATATACTTTTGAATGAGTTTTATCTTATACTCAAATGAGTATAATGTTTATAAAAATGTGTATTTATATCGAGCCCGTTTGGTGACCCCTTTTTTCAATTTATCAGGCTTATCAGTCAGCTTTTTCACAAAACACGTAAGTTTTGATTTTGCGCGCTGAAGTTTGTAATAAGTAAAAAGTAAGGTTGAAGTTACTTTTCTGGTTATTTTGGCTGAAGTTACTATAGAGGATCATTTCAGCTATTTTTTCATACATTTTTTTATTTAATTTATTAATAACAAATATTTTAAATATAATTTTTTCATGAATCAGCAGAATCAGCCAATACATGCACTTCAGCCAGAACTTCATAGATTTCAGCAGAATCTGCCAATTCAGCCAATTTTAATGTTACCAAACAGGCTCATAATGTTCTCAAATGAGCACTCATGGATGCTATTAAAATGAGTTTTGTGTTATACAACATTGAGTATATCATTTAAAGTAAATGCACATCGATGTAACATTAATGACTATTTGAGCACATTGGAGATTTGAAATGAGCTTTTGAATTTTTCAATGCTCATTTTGTAAATTGTGTATACTCATTCGGTACTTGTTGTATGCTCATTTTAAAATGACATCTACTTTATATTAGATTCACATATTGAAATTCATAAGACTTTATTATAGATATAATTTAATAAGTTTCATAAAAAAATAGTAACAAAAAGAAAGGGAATCAAAAGTTATGAAGCAAAATTCACGATGCTTAATTCGGAATCCTAATACTCAAAAGAATAGGTATGATGCCCATTAAAAGTTCATTCATGTTCATTTAACAGAAATCGTGATTTTTAACTTAATAGAGGAGGCTCGATGCATATGTGAGTTCGGGCTCGGCTCGGCTCATTTACACCCCTACTTCAAATAAGTCCTTGAAAAAAATTAGGATATACTCCCTCCGTCCCTTGTAACTTTGCCAATTTCCTTATTTGGATGTGTCACTAACTTTGCAACTTTTCCTTTTAAAAAAAGGATTTGTGGTTCTAGCTCATTATCTTCTCCTCTGCATAAATTTTAACCACACAGTTTTTACTTTATTATTCTCTATGCCGGTCAAACTTGACAAACTTATTAGGGATGGAGGGAGTAGTACGTATTAGAGCATCTCCAGTGGAAATATGGATTGTACCCTGTAAAAAATGGACATGTCATTTGTATTCACGGTCTATCAAGATGAGGTGAATACATACTCATTTAGAATATTATTGACGCTCCAATGGAACCGTCAGTTTAAGTAACTAGTTTTTTATTTACACTATTATTTACTAATACTACAATTCTTACGGAGCATTCTTTTAACTAATTATTAGTGATAAGCACGCTGCACATTTTTTATTAAAATTAAAAAGCTTTCCGGAAGAGATATGCTGAGTCAGAGTGTGGGAAGAGCATGCTGGAAGTAGAAAGACAAATAGCGGGTGTGCATAGTTTGCCATTCCAACTCAGTAACACAAGATATATGCATGGTCCCATTGGAGTAACTAAGTTTACCTCAAAGTCTCCTTAGCTGATGTGGCAATTCATTTTTAAGAGTTTAGAGCATCTTTAACGGTGCAATCGATTGATGAAAATGCATTGCCATGTAATAATGAGTTAAAAATACTCTCTCCAACGGTGTTGTCCATATTTTCTGTGCGGCTGAGGTGGATTAAAAAACCGTCCACATTGTGGCATCTCCTTTCTCAATTCCGAAAGCCTTCCAGACTAGTGACTCGGCAATCGATTTTTCTCCAGATGGGTTACCACTAGTTTTTATTTCAATTCCTCCAAAAAGCAGCGATCAAAAAACATGGAGGAACAATTTTTTTATTTCAAAAGCATCAATCATTGCAAGATCACTATTACTTGCGTAAATAACATATATAGCGCATATATATAAAACTCCGTTTAATATTATATATATACTAGCATATAATATGTGGTTTATAATATCAAAAATGGCAGCGTATTTTTGACGAGAAGCATGTTTAACCTTGGGGATTGCCAACCTCACCTTCGATATGGTCGAATATTTATTCTGCAGCGACTTTAGTTGAAGATGAAGTACCGATACATTCTCATATATCATGCGTTCTGAAAATAAAGTTAAGAGAAGATCGGCTGTATAATAAAGAACCCGCGGTTGCGCTGGAGACGAACTTTTATTTTTATGGGTTGTGTGTCCATGTCAAACTCATTGGCCGTTCATACAATGATGTGTCCATTTTTTTATCGCAAATTATACCATGAGATCGGCCCACCATGCGCATGGTGTGCCGATCCCAAAACGGTGTCGTTTTCCATTAAAAAAAAATAGGTTCGTATTTCTGTTTTCTATTGCAACCGACTTCTTTCTTCCGCTTCTTTCCTCCGTTTTTGTTTCTATTCACTGAGCTTACAAACCTGATTTGCCTTCAAAGGCTTCAATGGATTTCTCTCTAGATGATTCAACTGTTGTGAATTCATCGATTGAATTCAGAGATTCTATTCCTTTTACTATACATGATAACGTGATTCCTTCATCCGTTGACAATAATTTTGAATGTGATCAGTCGGTTCATGTCGAGCTCATTGGTAAACATTATAGTTTTTGAGTTTTGTGAATTTAATTTATCTTATTTATGCTTGCAGTATGCTGTAATATGTTTTGTTCTCTGTTTTATCTTATTACTTGAGAATTTGGAGTGTAGTATTCATATTGGTTGAATTTTGTTGTTTTCCTTTCAGGAGAAGACGAAACTTGTTCAATGGCTTCTAAATTGTTACATCTTCTTAGTAGAGGTACTTTTCCTGTCATGTGATTCAATTTTTGTTTTGTTTATTTTTAGTTCGATGTTATGTCATTTTATTTCAATTGTGGGGGTGTTTGGATCTAATTCTTAAAACTGCTTCTGCTCCCTGAGGGAGCAGAAACAGAAGTTGGAGTGTTTGGGTGAAAATGCAGAAGTGATTCTGGTGCTGTAATTTACTTCTAGAATTAGTTGTTTTAGAAGCTGGGGGGTACCAGCTTCTGAAAACTGATTCTGATTCTGCTTCTGCTTTAAAAAAAGAAGCAGAAGCAGAATCAGTTCCAAACACCCTGTATGTAGCTTTTGTTTAGTTTTATATAATTTGGTTCTTAGTTTTATGTTTGCAGTATGCTCTAATATCTTGTTTAATAATATGTAATTTACATTCAAATCTATGCAACTTCTTTTCTAATGTATGTAACTTGCGCTAAAGCTTATGTAACTTTCTGTTTTGTTGTATGTAACTTTTTGTTCTACTGTATGTAATTGAACTGTACCTTTATGTATGCAACTATTGTATGTGCCTTGAGTTAAGTTTTATGTAACTTTATGTTTATTAAAATGTAACTTTAGTTTAAGTGTATGTAACTTATGATCAACACTATGTAACTTGTATTCAATTGTATGTATCTTCTTTACAGTGGTTTGTTTTTCATATATCACCTTTATGAATTGTCAGATACATTTGCCACTATTGACAAGGCAACCGAGAATAAATCACTTGTTGGATTGTGTGTTAAATCTGAAAAGGATGTTTATAATCTTTACAACAGTCATGCTTTTGAAAATGGATTTGGTATTTGAAGATGCAAACAGAGGTTTAGGAGTGGCAATGTAAGATTGATTATGAAGTCTTTCTGTTGTTGGAAAGAAGGGAAGAAACTACAAAACGGCACTGAAAACAAAATGTATACGAAATTAGATTATCGTTCAGTTTGAAAAGCAAAGCTGCAGTTTTCTATTAGTGTTGATGGTGAATGGACTGTTTCAAAGCATATTACTGACCACAACCATTCTTTTTGTCCAATTGGTCAAAGACACCTTCTGAAATCACATCGAGGTGTTGATCATGAGTATCTTGAATTTATTATGTTGATGAAGGAGAGCGGGACAAAGGTTTCTGATATTCACCGTATGCTTAAAAAACAGACAGGTGGGGTTAGTGCTCTTGGATTCACCAAACGTGATGCTTATACCGTTCTAGAATCTGAAAAGAGTAAAATGTTTGATGGTAGTGATTCTAACACTTTGATTTCTATATTGAAGAAAAGAGCTGAAGTGGAATCTGATTTTTACTTTGATTTTGAAGTAAATGAAGGTGTACTAAGTTGTTTTTTCTGGAGATATGGCCAAATGAGATCAGATTATGAGAGGTTTGGTGATTTAGTCGTGCATGATACAACTTACAAGACTAACAAATATGACATGATTTGTGGTCCGTTTGTTGGTATGAATCATCACTGTAAGAATATTATGTTTGGTTGTGGTTTTATGTTGAATGAAAAGGTGGAGTCCTTTGTTTGGTTATTCCAGACTTTTTTGAAATCTTTGGGCAGCAAACACCCTATCACGTTTATGACAGACCAATCATTTTCCATGGAAGCAGCTATAAAATCAATTTTCCCTGAGTCAAGACATCGACTATGCATGTGACACCTCGAAAAATTTATTAAAATAAAATAAAATAAATAATTTTGGTCCGAGAATATGTTATCAAAGGGATATTTTATTAAAATAATTTTAGATAAAAATTTAATAAAAATAGAAATAATTCTTATTAGTCAGATAAAATGTTACATAAACGACATTTTAATTATTAAATGAGTGATGCAAAAATTTAACATTTGTGACATGTTTAATCAGATAAAAATGGTCCGATAGTAGAAGTAACGTGTTATATCAAGTACGAGTTATACATGTGGCATAAGTAATAAATGTTTATATATATATATATATATGTGTGTGTGTGTGCGCGCGCGCGCTGTACAAAAATACCAAAAATACTTTTCTAATATAAAACTAAATCTACGTACGTACTACTACTAATAATATATATACCTACGTACATACTACTACTAATAATATATATACCTACGTACGTACTACTATTAATAATAGACGATAGTATATAAGATGCTCCGTATGGGATGACTAAGAATGAAGCCAGAATTTTATTCCAAGAATTTTACTACGTACTTCGGATAACTACGAATGAAGCCAGAATTTTATTCCAAGAGGAGACCAGCGGTACTTCAGCGATACATACGGAAGGAATGAAACCTTAATCACGCTCATATACAGAATCCCAAGTGAAGAGAAACTCTCACTCCTAAACCTACGAACTGATCAATCAAATAAATATCAAAGTAACCTAGAGCAACTAAAACGGCCTAGAACCCCCTATGTATCAGTATAAATAGCAGCTTCAACCTACGCCTTCTTTCATTAACCAGCTCTCGGTATATATATATATATATATATATACATACGTATATATATGTATATATATATGCAAACTTTTGAACCCAGTATTATACTAAATAACGAGCCTTGAAAACACTTCTAAAACCTTCCCCTTCGTGAGAGGAATCTAGCGGTGAAAGAATCGTGGAAAACGAATGTCGGAGCAGGGAGAAATAGCCTCGCCGAAGCTCGCCGGAGTGGCCGCCGGACTGGTGTTACAGAGTAAATTCTGCTGCCGCCTCCAGCCAACTTCCGACCACCTCCGCACAAATCTCTTTTCCACCCGTATGTTTTCGATAAGGTAAGGTCGTATCCTCCCTTTTGTAGCTCTGCGTTTTGATTCTTGTTCCGGCGATTCAAAATGAAGAAAACGACGTCGTTCTTTTGCTTTGTTGAAGGCAGACTGGACCTTGCTGTTGGGCCGGTAGTTGGGCTGGGCCGGAACTATTGGGCATATTTATAATAATAATAATAATAATAATAATAATAGTAATATTGATAATAATATTAGTAATCTGCAAAATTATCTGGGATAGAATTATTAATGATGAAATTGGCTTGGTTGATTGATAGTAATCACTTAGATATGTTTGTTAAGTGTTAGTTAACAAAATTACATAATGTTAAATGATAAAATGAATTGTTGGTTAATTAATATTATATTAAAATAACAATTAGTTATTTTGATTTAGTACCATAATTAGATTAAATAAAATTGGATGGATATTATTTTCACTAATTATGGGATTAATTGAAGTAGAGTAATAAAATTAACATAATTACGGAAATATTAAGTGTGTGCGCATAAAATCTGATTAATTAATGATGATTAGTTTTTTTAAATAAATTGTTATAATAATCTGATTTATTAATAAGGTTGATTAATATAAATTAATGTAGTTGCAAGATTTGAATAGTTTAACTAAGAATAATTTGGATATGTTTCCTATATTTTTAAAATATTAAGATATAATTAATGTTTTATGAGTAGAGTAAATTAATGGCGATTATTGAATTAAAAATTTTGATTTTGTAGTTAATTATATTCGGATATTTTATATTAATTAAATACTGAATTAGTAAGGTGATTTGATTAATAAAAGGGATTAATTCGGATAATTGATTAATTAAATTAATAAATTCGAATAAGGAAATAAAAAGGGGAAAATCGGGTAAAATGATTACAAATAGAATAAGTGACTAATTATATCATCTTAATTAAAAAGGTGAATACTTAGAGACCGGAATTGAGGAAGAGAATTAGGAGGAGCAGGACTTAAGGTAAGTTTCACATCAACCGAAATTAGTTCTTTTTCTTCGTGATTTCTTTTAAATATTTTTGTGTGCATATTTGAGAATTCAATTTATATGTGCTGAATTTGAGTGAATATTAATATACGAAAGGGTTGTATTTGAGATATTAGTTGATATATTGTTTTGTTGATATGAGTTATTGTATATGATTTTGGGAGATATTGTAATAGTACATAATTTGGTATTGTTGTGGGAGTTTGATGCAAAGGGAATTTTTGAAGTATAAACTTCGATTGATTTTAAGATAAATAAATATGTTCATAAAAGGTGAGCATCACGGGAGAAATCCGTGGTGTTGGTTTTCCACATCCCTTAAAATGTGGAGGGTGGTTAGGTCTACTACTACTCAAAAAATTTGTTGGTTTTGGTTTGAGGTGAATTGACGGTCGGTAGAAAACATCTCGGGTTTTGAGTAGTAGTGGTAGTAGTAGCTCCTAATCATTCAGTTTTTGAGGTGGGGTAGTTGGTAGAAAACATCCCGGCTACCCGGATCGACTTACTAACCCGGAGGGCTTGGAATACCTTTAGGGGGTGTGCACACTTAAAGTAGTTGTTTCCGTTTCCAAGGAGCAGTTGTGGTACCGGTGATAGTCCCGAGGTGGTCGTACATAACAACGGACCACCGGGCTCAACCCAAGTGTTGAGCACCGCCCTTCTAAATTACTAGGAAGTTAGTTACAAAGTGATTTTTGGAGAAATTCAATAGAGGAGAAATTTTGGGGTTTCATGTATTTTGGAATTATTATGGTTCATGAATTTGTGATTGGGATTTTGTATAGATATCGTTTACTTATGATTTATAAATTGTTTTGAAAATATTTTTATACTAATGGTTGTACGAATTTATATATATACTATTATTATTATTTTAAAAGGTTAGGTGGAACTTACTTAGCATTATTGCAAATGTTTGTTTTCTTTGTATTTTCTTGTGCTCGTATTTAACAGGAGGTGGTCATGTTGATTTTGATGCTGGAATGTTTGAGAGCGCAAACTAGAAGATCGCTATGTAGTTCACTAGATTAAACTTTGATACTTGCTTATGATTCGAACATCTAGATTTTTGTTAAATTACATTTGGGTAGATAGCCTTAGCATTCAATCATTCAAAGGTTGGATGTGGCGGTGGCATGCCCCTTTTCCTTAGTTTTATTAATTTCCGCTGCAAAACTCTTGAAGGTTTAATTAATAAATAAAAGTTCATTTCTATCTCAAAGTATTATTTTGGGTGGGAAATTTGGGGGTGTCACAATGCACTTGACATATAGATGAGAATTCGAAAAAACACATCATATTTCTACGGAAGAAGATAAATTTTGTTCCTCTATTTGATTATGTTGTCAAACGATGTGACACAGTTGCAGAGTTTGATTTCTACTGGTCTGAGTAAGTTATTTGTATTTTGATGTAACCTCTTACTTATTCCGTGTAACTTGTTCATTGCGTTTGTGTAACCTGTGTTGCTTTAGTATGTAACTTTGTGTTAGTTTTTTACTTGGTTTCAGGTTGAACAAAGTGTATGAATGCAGTGACAATAAATAGTTAAAAAGGCTCTATAGTCATAAGGAAAAGTGGTGTCCTGCATTTTCAAAGGATTATTTCTCTGGCGGCGTTCTATCCTCCCAAAGAAGTGAATCTACAAATAGATCCATATCCAGAAGACTCTCAAAAACTGCAACATTGTGTGTCTTTTACAAAATGTTTGGTGATGTCGTTGATGAGTGGAGGTCAGAGGAAAATGGTCAAGATTTCAGATGTTTAGAAGGCACCATTGAGATGATACTGCTGCAAGAAAGTATTTTGTCACATGCTAGAGATGTGTACACCCTTGAGATATTCAAACTGTTCCAGGAACAATATTTGAAGGGTATGTCACACTTTTTTAAATTAATGACACAGAATTGTCATGATTATGTGTATCATGTTTGGTTGAACGGTGTAGATTTGATTAGGCACAACGTTACTTTTATTGGAAATGACAACACAGTGACATACATTTGTAAGATGTTTTCAGAAGTTGACATTTTGTGTAGACACATATTGCGTATATATAACATCCATTGTGTGAAATGTATTCCCCAAGTTTATATACTCCCCAGATGGACAAAAGCTGCTATTTTGCAACATGTTAGTCCTCCTTTTACTCAAGGAAGAGATCTTATGTGTGGGAAAATAATTGAAGATTCTATTTGGAGAGTGCAAATGACTAGAAAATTCAATACCATATTGGGTGCAAGTGCTGGTCTACCTGAAGCTAGGCAAGTATGTGAGGAAGGGTATAAATCTATCAAACAGTTTTTAGATATTCAAAAGAATGTTTCTGGTGTAGATGAATTGAGTTCTGATCCAAGGACAATACTTGATCCTCCACGTTCTCGTCATAAAGGTCAGCGAAATACACGGAAGAGAAGCATCGTTGAAAAACAGTGCAAAATAGTCAAAGGTCGACGTTCTAAATCTCAAAACGTTGCAAGTAATTCAAAAGCAGTTGCACAATCTGTTGTTCAGGTATTTTCTTATTTTTATATGTTTTTCTTCTTTAATTCACCTTTACGAACATGTATTTTGTTCACTAGCAATGTTACATTTTATCATACAGAAGTTACATAATAACTCAATGAAGTTGCACCATACACAAGCACTTCGAAGAATGTTCTCTGGACAACATTTTCAATCAAATAATACCTTATAGATTGTATATACTTGTTAACTTAAGTAAACATCCGGGATTTTAACTTTTTAAATAATGCAGATTATGAACCAAAAATTACTTTGCTTGTATTTACATGTAAACAACACATTTCAGGGCATAATACACATGTTTTCATAACAAAAAAGCAATCACATTGAGTAATATTTGAGTCTATATTATAGCTTATACCTGAGTACCTGACAACCGATTTTTCCTTAACCCTAACCATTTTGGTTGTACTTGCTGCTGAACTTGATCCTCAAGTTGCTCCGGTGAAAGCCTTTACTTAGAGCCTGTTTGGTAGCACGCAAATCGGCTGTTTTGGCTGATTCTGCTGAAATTTATGAAGTTCTGGCTGAAGTGGCTACATTGGCTGATTCTGCTGATACAAGAAAAAAATATTTTTAAAATATATTTTATTAATATAATAAAGAAAAAATTATATGTAAAAATAGCTAAAATGATCATCTACAGTAACTTCAGCCAATACAGCTAGAAAAGTAACTCCAACCTTACTTTTTCGGCTTATTACACAATTCAGCGCGCGAAAGCAAAATTTACGTGCTTGGTGAAAAAGTTGGCTGATAAGCCTGATAAGCCGAAAATGAAGTTGCCAAACGGCCTCTTAATCTCTTGTCTTCTTTGCAGAGATTTGTTTCAAAAAAAAAACTTCGTCGAACTTGCTTGATTCAGAAGAAATGTAGAGCGAGACTTTTTCAGAAAGTAAACTTTTGGATTTCGAAGAGGCGTAAATGTAAAACATCGGGAGTTGAGAGCATAACCGCTGGAGGGAAAAGGTGGGAGAAAGGATCCGTTGGTTTGTGTGCGCATTTTTTTAATTAAATGCTTTAATGTAATGCTACGTCGTTTTTGTCGCGGGAGTAGGATGCTGAATATGGGCCGTTCCCACGATATACGAACTGTTTTTTTGTGTAATTCACATCCCCACTAAAGATGTTCTTATTTATTTTTTTTTGGATAAAATGTAAATATATTATTACCCAAAGTAAAGTTTACAAAATTTAAAGCTCCCCCCACCCCCTCCTGTGATAGGAGAGGGTTGGAAGGAGCTTTCACTTCAAAACGGACATCACCAAAGATAGCCATAAGGCTCACCTATGCCGCGGCATAAGAAATAAAAAAGAAACAAAATAGGACTGCGCCTTAGTACACGCACTTAGCCTATCAAAATCGAGGCTATACAAACGGCTTTCATCGTTCTTATCAAAATGTGATCAACTCATGTGGGTATATGTTGTAGAGTATCTTATACATCACATGTTTGACCTTAGCAACAACCTCTTCCTCCTTCTTCATCTTTCCATCAAATCTGCACTCATTCCTAGCATGCCAAATGTAGTACACCGTTGCACAGAAAGCAATGCGGGCTACTTTGGCCTTCAACGTTGATCCTTTATGGGTCTTCTTGATCCATTTGATTGAACTCAGCAAGGTAGACATCTCACGTCTTAGTCCCATCCAGCTCCTTACGTGATCCCACACCCTACAAGTAAAGGGGCAAAGAAAGAAAAGGTGTGGTATTGTTTCCAAACCACCCTTACATAGATCACACCGGTTCACGATGTAAAGATACCCGAGGCTATCTTGTGTAGGTAGTCGGTTTCTTAGGGCCAACCATGCATTAAATGAGAGTTTGGGGGGAATGTATGATTTCCATATGAAACTCATAGGAGTCCTAGCTTCTCCCTTGACCCTTAGGAGATCGTAAACTTTTGCGGAGGCTAATTTACCATTCGAGGCTCTCGAGGCAAGGTCCATGATAGTGTCATTGAGATTATTGAAGCACCCTCGGATCTTATCACGGATGAGACTCAACCGCTTCATGAGCTGTGAGTCCCGGGTGTGTGGGATAAAATCCCACACGATTCTACCTTGAAGGTATACACCGTTCACCCATTTGACCCAAAGGGTGTCCTTCTTCATATGGACATCCCATAAAGTACGAGAGAGGAGGGCGTGATTCCATACCTTAGCATTATGAATGCCAAGTCCTCCTTCCTCTTTTGGGAGACAAATGTCTTCCCAAGCTACTTTCGAAAACTTACCACCCCATAAGAATATTCGACAGATCGATACTATCCTATCCAAAATAGTTTGGGGAATCGGGAAAACTTGGAGCCAAAACGACTGGACCCCTTGGATCACAGATCGTATTAGCTCTAGTTTACCGGCAAAGGAGATCGTCTTTGTGTTCCATGCGTTTAGAAAATCGTTTATCGTATCAAGAAGGGGGGCATATTGTGCCACGGAGATTCTTAGCGGTGCTAGTGGGATTCCAAGGTATCTCACCGGGAATACTCCACGACCATAATCAACGAGGTCCAAAATGTTTTGTAAGTCCAGCCCATTAACCCCTCCCACGAAAATATTGGATTTATTATGGTTAACCCTAAGGCCTGAGACTTCTCCAAACTCTTTAAGAGCATCGACCAATACTCCAATGGAATATTTGTCTCCTCTCGAGAAGAGCATGAGATCATCCGCATAGGCCAAGTGAGTTATTCCCAACGAGCCACATAGCGGGTGGTGATTAAACCTCGAGTCCATGCTTTTGATGGTAAGGAGGCGCGAGAAATATTCAAGGCATACAACGAAGAGCAAAGGGGACATTGGATCCCCTTGCCTAATGCCACGCTTACCATTAAAGAAACCATGTAATGTACCATTCAAAGAGACAGAAAAAGAAGCGGTAGAAACACACTCCATAATCCATCCCACAAATCTATCGGGGTAGCCCAAACCCCTAAGTACATTGGCAAGAAAGTCCCACGAGATAGTATCATAGGCCTTTCGCAAATCCACCATTATCATACAACGAGGTGAAATTCGCTTCCTATTGTATCCACTAACAAATTCCTGGGCAAGGAAAATGTTATCAAACATTAGGCGGCCATCCACAAATGCACCTTGTGCCTTGTTAATCAAACCCGCGAGGGTCGGGATCATTCTTGCCGCAATAATTTTTGTAATAATCTTGTAAAGCACATTAGTACATGAAATAGGCCTATAATCCGAGACCTTAGGGGAGTGACTAGTTTTAGGAATCAGTGCTATAACAGTATGATTTAACTGTTTAAGCAACCTTCCCGAGTTAAAGAACTCCTTAGTCGACCGGATCACATCCTCCCCCACAATATTCCAATTTTTCTTGAAAAATGTCGAGGAATAACCGTCCGGCCCCGGTGCCTTGTCATCCCCGATATCAAACAAAGCATCTTTAATTTCTTTGCTAGTTATCGGAGATAATAGACTATCATGAACACTTTGTTCAATCAAGGGGCCAGTTCCTAGTACCGTTTGGTCAATGGAAAAGGTTTCCATCTCGATGCCAAAAAGATCAACAAATTTTTTTACAAATTCTTATGTACATCTGTATTGTAGCAAAAACAAAATCACATGGGTCATCCCAACCAAGGACACCCCACCCCGTCACCTCTAAACAAAAATCAAATTAGCTAGATCTACATGCCGATCACAAAAATCACATGGGAGCCTAGGATAGTCTAAAATTCAATTATCACTGCATCAAGGCAGTCGTGAACAAAAGTTCTGGATAAGTTACGTATGACTGTATGAGTTGCGAATCAGCTGCGGCGTCTTCCCCGCTTCACCACAAAAGCGAACACAATGAGCTCCGTATATTCACTCTTCTTCTTCTCCGCTACTTCCAAATCGCACCCCATTTTCATAGCCCCAAAACCTACCGCCTTCATTCTCAAACCCCAGCAGTCCAGCCTCACTTACTTTGCCAGACGTCTGAATATAAAGTTCCGGCCGCTTAAGGGTTCTTGCCGTCAAATTCGGGCCAGCGTCGATGTCGCGTCCACCTCGGCCATCAAGCCCGGAGCCTCTGTGGAGAGCGACAAATTGCCCTCTGATATTCGGAAGCGAGCGATGGACGCAATTGATTCCTTCGGAGGAAGAGTCACTGCTGGGGATGTCGCCAGTAAGGCTGGACTTCAGTTGAACGAGGCTCAGAAGGCTCTGCAGGCTCTTGCAACGGACACCGATGGGTTTTTGGAGGTGAGACCTGCCAATGTTTTTCTAAATTAACTACGGGTTCTGCTATTATACTAAATCAATTTAGATAAAGAGTAATTATATGTTGAATAATGCCACTATATAAAGTCTGTGAAGAAATTGTCATGCTGCTATAATCAGCCATTCGCCAGTAATAACACTGGGACACACTTTAGAAGGATGAGAACGAGTTCTTGGATAATCATGTATGAAGAATGATTTTGTGCCCAAAAGACTCGGACTGAAGATTGATGAAGGGAGTATTCCAAGCCAAACTTTGCATCTGCCGTTTGTTCTCTGCGCAGGAGTAAGGCTGGCTTGTGATGTGTGAAGTTCCTAGATTGGTTGGCTTTGGTCTATGAAGTTTCTAGGTTGCCAGGTGTCATGACCTTTACCTCCCCGTTTCTTTGGAATCTCTAGAATTCTCTAGGAGCTAAGGCCGCACCAGAGCTTGTTAAGGGAACAAGTCCGTGCCACAGGGCTTAGATTTCAGATGGTTGTATATGGATCTAGTATGGGCTGTAGGTCATTGGTTTCAGTAAATGTTTTAGGGCTCAAAATTCTATGCAGTATCATTTACTCAATTTATCTGGTTTTAGGCTTTTAGATTTGAATCTTTTCATTAGTACTCTCAACTACTCTGTAGTACTCCGTATTAGTTTTTATGCTAGCTCAGTTTTATCTTCGACTTATTTGGTTCTTCTAACTATTATTAATGACTAATGTACCTCATTGATTTAATAACAGATTTTTATTACAAATTTAATTTCTAAGTACTTATTTTAAAAGTCTTTTCGATTTTTATCTTTCAGTGTCCTCATGTTTGTTTGACTTTAATTTTTAACTTTTTATACATTGTGTGACTTCATTATGTATATGTGTAGAAGATTGATCTGCTTTTTCGTCTCCCTTTTTCTCTATTTATTATTTTTAACTCCGATGTCATATGTCGATTCATGTTAGCCGAATCCAAACTCCATTCGCATCAAGCTTAAATTTCCTGCTTGCATTCACGCACCTCTGGAAGCCGACACTTTTTTGGATTAAGGCTAGGATGTTGTTGTAGTTGCATATGTGACTTTCATGATTATACATTTAAAAATACATAATTTGCATAATTTATTTTAATTTGCTGAGATGGATCTGTCAGGTGTCAGATGAAGGCGATGTCCTTTATGTGTTTCCTAAGAGTTATCGTTCAAATCTTGTTGCTAAATCATTTAAGCTGAAGATTGAACCGCTACTAGAGAAAACAAAGGTTCACACAATGTAGTGGCTCTACATCTTGATATCATCCAGCAAGTCTTATGTTCTTCCCCAATAATTAATGTTCCTCGTCCTTGGTTGCAGATGGCAGCGGAATATCTACTCAAAGTTTCATTTGGAACTACTCTGGTTGCTTCAATAGTTATTGTTTATGTTACAATTATTTCTCTTGTTCTTTCAAGCAAAAGGTATCAGCTAAAATTAAGTTCTCGAACACCTTGGCTTCCTTCTTTACGATTACTAATAATGTCTGCATCAATCCTTCCTATAGACAATTGTGCTGCCAATTTTGATACTTCTTCCCGTGTTACAGTGATGATGACAATCGTGGAAGGCGAAGCAGATCTTATGATACAAATTTCACATTTTACGCAAGCCCAAGGGATTTATTTTGGTAACATCTCAAATACATGTATACAACCCCTTTTTATAGCGGAAATCCTAATAAATCTAGGTTTACCTCTTGTTAAAACTTTATGAAAAATTCTATTCTTGTCATTGTCTGATCTTCCTCTATTATACTTGAATCTGCCTTGTTTTCTTGAATTTTTATTAGTGTTTATTGACGATGCCTAATGCCACCACATCTGAATATGGGCAAGGATTAACAAGTGATAAATTGGTAGACCTGTATGGCTGTATATGTTCTTTCTGTAGTTTTCTCTCCAATCTCTCAGTT